GAACAAAACTTGACATGACAAAAGGGTTTGTCAAAGTTTTGTTCCTAATTTTAACCTATATATTATTCATCTCACTCACTCACAAATAATAACAAAGTGCATATTGTCAGTGTTCACCTATTTCAGAATACAAAAACAAAAAATCAGTGTAGCCAAAACATAATCCCATAAATATGCCGGCCAGCATAAAGGGGGACATTTTATTATATTGAGAGCATACCCATAGAGGTATATTTAGATCTATATAGATATTTGAAAGACTTTTCAAATTATATATTGCAATACCCACATTTCTGTTTAAAAAATTTATCGATGACGTCATTACTTTGTTATTATCTGGTATTCCTTTGGTACTACGAAGGTTTTACTGAAGTAATGTCACAATTTCGTAATAAGTAAGTGTGCGTTTTCTTGCAAAGTAAAAAACTCCTATCTACCTACCTATATCTACGTCAAATAAAAATATTTTGAGTCAAACTCACTTGCTACCATTATAATCTGGGCTTAGCTTTTGGGTGGGTGCAACCAATCATTATGTCCATTAGTGTAATTTAAATAACTGGAAAACGCTTTTTGGAACTAAACCCCGCCAAGGGCATCAAAAAAATACAAATTCAAACACGAAATAAGTATTATAATCGTTTATACCCACGTACCACGTAAGTAATGGGGAAAATAAATTAACTATTTTAAATTTAAATTAGGGTTTGATGGGCTACCGTGCAACTAACCGACATTTTGGCTATTATCAAAAATTGTGCTCGGACTTGAGCATTAGATATAACCGATTATAATAAATTTGATTGATGCCCACTTACGTATTTAAATCAGTTTAAAGCTAGCTACCGTGCTACTGAGAACTTCTTATTATATCCTCTCAAGGATGACGGCAAAAATAATCTTCAGTATAATAAAAAATGCGTAATCCCAAACCTCTAAAATGATAGGTATCCAATAAACTTTTGGATTAAAAGAAGATGATGTTTTGAAACATGAGTAAATAAAAAACAATGTGATTTCATTTACTTGCAAACACTCTCATAGGATGATAGCGCTGAAAGAACTAGCGCTTATCAAAATAGCCTTATTGTTTGAGCCGGGGAAGCTGAGTTAGGCCAGCGCTGCAGGTGGTGTAATTCAGATAGTTGAGTTAGGCCAGCGACCTTCTTTAATCCCTTGTCAATTATTAATTAGAAGTATTAATAAGTAATTAGGAGAATGATGTGTAGATACATTACGGATGTAAGGAAAATAGAAAAGTACTATTTTATTCTGTCTTTAATTGCCACCGAGTATACATTACGATCATGGAAGTCGAATAAATATATTTTTAGCGAAAAGGGGAAAAAGTTGTTAGTTATAGGCAATTTTAAATTTTGTGAGGCAAATACTCTTACCAATGGTGAAGTGCGATGGCGATGTGTTAAAAAAAAAAAACAAGTGTTCAGCCAAGGTTTATATCCTTCGTGACCAAATAATAGACGAAAAAAGTGATGTCAATTACAACCATGAAGAAGACGACACTCTTAGCCCTTAGCAACGACATTAAAAGGAAAGCATTGCAGTACCTGTCAGAAAAACCCTCAAAATTCATCCATCAAGAATTAAGGAAGATCGAGTTTTGTGACGATATCACGTCGCACGACATTCATAGAGTGCGAAAAAACATTTATGCCGTAAGACGTTCTGGATACCTATTCTCTAACTCATGGGAGCACTCCCATACTCCCATGCCGACGTTGCCAAGTCGACAGAATAACTTTGATCTACTATTTAAGGGTCGATTCCACCGTTGTGTTAAACGGAGATTAAAATGACATTGTTAATGTAAAAATGTCACTTTAAACTTCGTTTAACACAACGGTGGAATCGGTCTTAAGTAGTTCAAATTTGCTTTGTGATAAATACGGACCAATCTGGCAAGCCTGCAATTCTCCCTCCCATGGTATAAAATCTGACCTTACTACGCATGTACCTGGGCTAAAAGTCAGTAAGCACGATATACCCACCTAAGAGTAAGAGAGCAAAATATATGGGAGCACTCCCATGTGAGCGCTCCCAAAAATTAAGAGGATGTTTTTACTTGTTTAGGTAAGATGAATCCTATTACAAATAAAAACGAAGAGTTTCTTTCTATTTGCGATAGGCCTTCACAGATAATTGTGTTTGGCTGCAGAAGCAACTTTAATTTTTTATGTTCAGTTGATACTGTTTATATGGACGGTACCGAGGACGGTACATTTCAATATTCGACCAAATATTTTGTACAGTTTTTTACAATTCACGGTTACAAAAATGGACACTATGTACCTTTAGTTTTTTACTTATTGCCCTCAAAATCACAATCTGTGTATCTTAAATTATTTGAGTTATTAGATGCAAAATCTCAAACATGTCTTTACTTTAAACCTTCTTTTGTTGTAATTGATTTTGAGTTAGCGATTCTTAATGCAGTTAAAGTTATGTGGCAAAACGTAAAAATAATAAGCTGTCGCTTTCATTTATCCCAAGCCTGGTATCGAAAAATTCAATATTTAGGATTAAGCGCTGATTACCGTTCAGAAAATCAAGTAGGAAAATATTTGAAATATTTCTTTGGTCTTCCATTTCTAAAACCAGAAGAAGTTGGTGACTGTTTTGCATTTGATTTGTTTGAAAACAATGATGTAGTAGGTAACCAAAAAGTAATTGAATTTTGCGACTATTTAGTATTGGGGCAAATGCTACATTGTCGCGGTTTGTATGGGCATCAGCTTCAGATTCGATGACACGTACCACAAATTCTTGTGTCATTTCAATTATTATTTAATAGCCATTTTTATTCTTGCCATTCGAATATTTTTTAACAAGTATGTAAAAAAACTACGGCCTCACATCGAAAAAAGAAAATTATATTTACCGAAAAAACTCCGACAATTGGAATGTAATGAGTTAAGTAGATTCAATTTTGTTCAATGCATTGCTTTTAAATAAGCACCAAATAGTATAATATAACCTGTACTTTATTATGTATTTGAACCTATATGAAATAAGCATTGTTTACAAATAAGAATTTTTATTTTCTGGCCTAACTCAGCATAGCTGTTTAATGAGTTTAAAGGATTAAAATAGCCAAGCGGTTACCGGGGATTATAGCAGGTAGTTGGCCCAATTCGGTTGCCTTGTAAATCATCAGTATTAACTTCTTCGTCATAAAGTTGGGCAAAATATAAAATTTATGAATAAAAAATCTAATTTTTTTGTTTAAGTAAAGCATATTTCAGGTGTTTATCCAGAACAACCCGCAAATATTTAATAAGGGATACTTCTTTCAAAGGTTGTCCTACGTTGTCAAGCCCAATTTGAACAAAAACTGGTCTATTAGCCATTGTTATAGAAAAAACAATGTAATGAGATTTTTTTATATTTAAAGTTAATTTGAATGTCTTTAGATGGTTCTTAATTTTGGCAAAATCAGTCAGGAATTTTTCACCCACCAATTCCCATGTCTTCGCATGAAATACCACCGCAGTGTCATCAGCAAATGCAATTATCTTACCATCAACTTCAAGGCTGCAGAGGTAATTGATATAAATATTAAAAAAAATTGGGCCAAGTACTGTATCCTGTGGTACTCCATGTTGAATCGTCTTTGGTTCGCTTAAAGCATCTGCAATCCTGACATGTTGAGTTCTATGCATCACATCCAAGGCTTGAAGGAACATGCATTTATCGCCATTATTTAAATGACACATAACTTTCTACACTATTTCATATTATTTATAGTTCAGACTATAGCGCGAATAGGAAACGAATAATATATTAACGAAACCAGCCGGCCGTGCGGGAATATTACTCTTTTGCATTACTTAAAATTTAAATAATATACTAATAAAAAAATTTAATATATTGTAATACATACTAATTCTTAAAAATTATTTAAATTTTTCTAGTAACGCTATATTTTTTTATTATTTAATATTCCTAGTAAATAAAGATCACAATATACTTCGATGATGACATACAAAATTTATAAATATTCTAGTAAAAGAAAGTTTATAAACACCGATACATAGTAGACATTCGTAGAAAATCTCTCTAGTGTTGGATTGTTTTTTTAATTAAAATTTAAATTTAACGAGAAAATCTTCAAGTACATCTATATAAAAATTAAATATCCTGCGTTTTCAATGTGATCCATAAAAAATTATGGAATATATTTTAAAAATTGAAATGCATAATAATCTTTAAAAAAACGTTCTTAATGAACCGATGAGTAATAAAAGGAATGTTTATAAACTATAAAAAGCGATAATAACTGTAAAAAATATTTTATTTTATTTCTTTTTTAATTAAAATTGGAAACCACCCAAATGAGCCATATATATTCTCATATTCTTAAAACGGTATAATTTATTAACAATAAATAAAAAACTCTGTCAACCATTGTACCTATATCGTTTTTATTACAATATCTTTCAAATGGCAGTTTTTATTTAAATTTTAATTTATATACATGCAAAATAAGATTAAAAACTTTTCACAATTATAAAAATTATGTAAGATTTCTCGAAAATTGTTTGTAGAATAAGTTCTTATTAAAGCGTATTTTTTGTGAAAATTATCATTCTAAAATAGTTATTTATTTATTAACTAGGTATTTAAAACAAATTGAACGATAATAAACTAAACTCCTAAAATTTGATATAAATTTGAAAGTTTAAAAACCTATTGAAATATGACACCAATATCAAAACATAATAAATAAATACATGATTCAAACATAAATAAATCTAAAATATACTTACCATTAAGCCATTTTAAAATTGAATAACAATAATAAAAGACTACGCTACATAAATAAAAAATAGATACCACCAATTTGAGGTGCAACGCGAGGAGTGAATTATAATTTAAAAATCAATAATTAAATCTTCTCTAAAGGCGCAATCAAAGTAAAATTAAGTTGAATACAATTAAATAATGTTTAAAGTTGATTAAGAAACACAAAATCTACGTACCATGTGTTGAATTGATTTTCCAAAAGATACTGAAGGGCTTTGCGCATAACTAATTCATCAAGGAATCCAAAAGAAATTTTAAGTCACTGTAAATATCGGGAACCAAAACTACACACACTGCACTCTCGCACCAAAGGGCCAAACCGCGGCATCCACGTGTTTTCAAAACTCAAAAAGACTTATCCCGCCAGCCGGCAGAGGTGTTCTTCAACTAAATTCCCTATTTCAACTTCGAAGCGGTCAGGTACAATATCATTGGAATGCAGCAGACCAGCGATGTACTGGGTACCGGTGGTACCAGAACGACCGGCGCGCTCGACGCTCGGTACCAGATCGCTGAGCGATTGAGTGGTACATTCCGAACGCGAAACTTAGTGCATGTCAGAGCTGCCGGAGCGTGCTTCTGGCATCCAATTTTGTACCGCGGACTGTACCAAACTCAGGTGTGTTTGGTACCTGTTTAGAGGTTACATTCCTGAGCGAGTGAGTGAGGAGAAAATCAAAATAGCCTCGCTTGGGGTTACCTCGCGTGTATTATAGTAATGCATACGATTTTTTATTTGGAATTTTGGTTGGTTCATTATCTGAATTATCGCGTTTCGTTTTCTAGCATGATTGTTATCTATGAGTGGTTTAATGTTGTTATACAGGAATTACGAGTATTTTTCTGCAATGTGCTTGTCAGAGGGGATCAATAAGATATGAGCGCGCCAAATATGATGCGATGCTGAGGGACGATAATGTTCATTATTTGTCTTCTATTGGTACCACTTTAAAGGTAACAAAATTAGTAATAATTTTACAAAGAGATTGGGAAAGTACCTAAAAATGGTTAAAACATAAAATACTTATAGCTTTGTCGGTAAAAAAACGTTCCACGGCCTGAAAATCGATTCTCCTCTGTTATCAATCTCTAAATATGTAGCAAAAAGCATTTATCCTAACAGAGCTTCATTGCCGGATAATGCAGACTCGTCTAACTGGAGAGAGAATCTGTTGGTCTGTATGAAGATGCATAAAATGTTTTCCACGTCTCGACCCATCTCGTCTATTCGTCTCTGTACGGTGTTATTGCTCAAAGGCATTCCCTTTATATCATGTGCAGGACTATGCAATAGATTCCCAGATAGCACAGGACATCCTAAGGACGACCATTACATGTCCACTTATCGCCTGTACGTCCAGGACCAATTCTGCACGTTTTAAGTATGTCCATCTGTATCTGTATCCTCCTGAGATGATAGGCACCTCCTAGCTCGTGAGCCAGCCTACAGATTTAATGTAGTTTTACAACGTCACCAAGATGTACTTCTCTTATATCAGCCGGTGCTAGCCGATACTCGCCGAACACAAATATTCTAATAACTAAGAGCGTCGAGCAATCGTAAAGGATATGCTCCATGGGCTCATCTTCTTGTTCGCACCCTCTGCAGAGTGCGGATTCTGACAGCCTCATGATATGGAGATGCTTCCGTATTTGGCAAAGACCAGTCAGAATGCTTGTGACTAGGCGCAGATTCTGTCTAGTCAGAGTCAAGTATTTATTTGCTGCAGTGTTGTCAAGATAACTTAAGAGCTCCCTGGCAACTCTGCAGTTTCTTGTTTCATCTTATATTTCCTTGAATTTCACAAGGGAATGTTCTTTAATTAGGTCTGCCACTACCGATTTTGTCAGGCCAATAGAAGGGCCAGGTCCAAAAAGTATTTGGCTGGCTGCTTTCTTGGCTAGTGAATCAGCAAGACGGTTACCTTTCGATGTGGCTTGACCTTTGATCCATCTTAAGGTGACCACATTGTTGATGGATACTTCGGCCAAACCTTCGTGACATTCTAGTACTAACCCTGAATAAATGTGTGGTTTGGAGTGAGGGTAGCCATATATGAGTAGTAGGGATTAAGTGTAAGGGGTTAAAGAAAAGGTCCTTTATTTCTCACAAGTCAATTTAATTGGCGACCGGTTTCGAAGCTGTCACTTCATCATCAGGCACACCTTGACTATTTCCTTTATGGAAATAGTCAATAGTCAATAGTCAATAGTCAATAGTCAATAGTCAATAGTCAATAGTCAATAGTCAATAGTCAATAATCAATAGTCAATAGTCAATAGTCAATAGTCAATAATCTAGTCAATAGTCAATAGTCAATAGTCAATAGTCAATAGTCAATAGTCAATAGTCAATAGTCAATAGTCAGTAGTCAATAGTCAATAGTCAATAGTCAATAGTCAATAGTCAATAGTCAATAGTCAATAGTCAATAGTCAATAGTCAATAGTCAATAGTCAATAGTCAATAGTCAATAGTCAATAGTCAATAGTCAATAGTCAATAGTCAATAGTCAATAGTCAATAGTCAATAGTCAATAGTCAATAGTCAATAGTCAATAGTCAATAGTCAATAGTCAATAGTCAATAGTCAATAGTCAATAGTCAATAGTCAATAGTCAATAGTCAATAGTCAATAGTCAATAGTCAATAGTCAATAGTCAATAGTCAATAGTCAATAGTCAATAGTCAATAGTCAATAGTCAATAGTCAATAGTCAATAGTCAATAGTCAATAGTCAATAGTCAATAGTCAATAGTCAATAGTCAATAGTCAATAGTCAATAGTCAATAGTCAATAGTCAATAGTCAATAGTCAATAGTCAATAGTCAATAGTCAATAGTCAATAGTCAAGGCGTGCGGAAGCGTGTCAATATCGTCAGAGCAACCTCCTTGATGTAAATATCAAGGGGAGTGAGACTAAGAATGACTTCCATCGCTCTGGTCGATGTTGTTTTCATGGCTCCTGTTATGTTGAGACTTGCTGTTCTTTGAATTTGTTCTAGTTTACGGATAGCTGTTATATATCATATTGCAGGATATAAATTAGTTTTTTTGAATAACTGTCAATGGTTTAACTAGAACTTTAACTAAAACTTGCTCCTTGAGTCAAGATGCAAAAATTAATATAGAGGAATTGGATTTAAGCATTTTTATTTTTTGAATTTTCTTATAGTTTACGACTTTTTGAGATTTCATCATGAAATTTGTCTACTTTTATTTGAAATTATAATACTAAAAAATGTTGCTAATTTATTAGATACATTTTAAAATATTTGGTTTACTGGTAGGTACCGCTGGTACCAGTTATATAAATTATATTACATTTACTTTAAACTTGTTATTTAAAATCGTTAAAAAATGTGCCTATACAAATAATAATAACTTAAAAAAAACTATTTTAGTTTTGCTAATTGTAGACACAATAACAAGAAAAACTTGTTTGTTACCAAAAGCATTATGTTTTATAATTTTATCTATTTGATCTAGTAACTTTGGATACTAATTAATTAGCAATCAAAATCGGATTACAAAATTTGAATTGTAAAATAGTATAATTTTTATTAATTCAAAATTAATTACGCAGCAAAGAAAAAATCAGAGGTTTTTGTTTAAGATGCGTCCATAATTTCATATTACTTAAAAAAACTGTTTTATTTCATACTGTTGGGGAAAAGTCACTTTACTCAATCAGTACTTACTAAAAATTTATTAAGAATTCCATTGGGGTCTACTTTATAAGTTTGTATATTTTATTTAATCCTTGCTAATATATTATCTCTATAATATACAAGATAGCCTTTGTGTTTTTTAGAGATTCCCTGTCAGATTCATTCAACAAACATTTAAAATCACATTTTAATGTCAACAGAGAATATTTACTTCTCTATTCTTCGTTGACAGTGAATTGACAGCTGTCAACGGTCAATTTGTCCAATCTGACATGAAAATTGAATTCAGTGACCTCAAAAACCCAAACTCTCAATGTGAAAAGAGGATATTTACTTTTATATTCCTCGTTGACAGTGAATTGACAGTTGTGAACGGTCAATTTGTCCAATCTAACATGAGGGTTGAATCCAGTGACCTTAAAAACATTACCCTATATATTAGAATAATTAAAATATGCTTTTGATATCTGTAAATAGTATTGAAAATAAATAGTTTTGCAACGGGTCAGGGGAGCTTTGGCAGCTCCGTAGCTGCCAAAATATTTATTTTGGCACTTTGTGCCCATGGAGACTTTTGTTCAGGATGACACAATCTACAACATATCAAAAATTCAGACAATAGAGAGTTATTGCAAGTTCACTTAAGTTCAGTCACTATTAGTGCCGCTCTTATTTTGACATCTGAGCATGCGCAGATCACCTACTTTAATAAAGATTGTGCCTATCCTTAATAGAGAGATATTGCAAATTTCTATAGAGCCAGCCACTAATAGTGACATCGTAATTAGAGTCAAATAAATTCTATAATAGTACCTAATATTAAAGAGGCATTAGAAATTATAATTTTAGAAGGTTTAAATGACGAGCGCATCCGAAAGCTATAAAGGCGCCACTACCTGCTGTCCTTAAACATCCACAATTAATGACAGGCACAATCCTTAATAAAGTCAGTTTTAGAACATAAACATCTGCGCATGCTTAGATGTCAAAATAAGAGCGGCACTAATAGTGACTGACCTTAAGTGAACTTGCAATAACTCTCTAATTTGACAGAAACCCAATTTCCATAAGGTCACCTGGTTGTTGTGTATTATTTATTTATAAACCATATCAAACTTCTCATTAAATAATTTATTTGACGTATAAGAACGACAGAAGAAAATGTCTGTTGACATATATGGCAATCTATTGACATGGTGATATCCAATACTCGTATTGTTGTTCCATAAAAAAATGCATTGAATTTTTAAACCAATGACATTTAAAGCTCTTAAGTTAAACCTATAATTCTGAAAAACACCCCATGTTTGTAGATTTCTTCTACTATACATTCAGTAAATGAATATTTTTGATAAATGGTCTCTTTTAACAAAGTCAAATGCCTATTATAAGTCTACCAGCAGAATGTCTGTATTAATTGTTATTACCTACATTATGTTTAAAAGATTGTTGTGTGCATGATTCTTGTTAAAGGTATTTGCACTTTAAAATAGGTCAAATTCAAAAATGCTATACAAAATACTAATAATTAAACAAATAAGAATAAAGGCTACCTAATTAAAGATAAAAATATTTAATTTTATTTTAAAATCAGTAACAAAGAACTTATGAATTTTCTAAGCGTGCTGAAGATACTCCAGATTAACATGTACCTCCGCCAATTCTGGTTCCAACGTCTTGGCAGATGTCAGGTAAGCTTTGGCTAGATTTATCTTGCCCATTTTGTGATACAGGACTGCCAAATTGTTGAAAGCGGGGGCATGCGTGGAATCCGAACACAGGCATAAATTTAAACACTGAACGGCCAGTTGGACATCTCCAGCTGCCTGAAAAGAAAAAAAAAGAAAGAAAAAGTGGCTTATTTATTGGTTGCACGGATATATTTTTCACTGGTAGTTACAGGAGTGAACAAAAAATGGAAATATCGTAGATTATGTCGTTGATTGTGATATAGAAACTGTTTGAAAGTTGATGGTGTTTTTCGGGATCAATTAGTTTATTTATCTATTATCAACCCTGTTGTATGATAGTTAATAAGAAAGGAAATATACATTGATAACGAGCCACCCTCAATATTTCAGTTCTTTTACAAACACGTCAATTTTTATTGAGCGGGGGATATCTTTCTATCACATCATCAACTATCATAATTCATTCTCCTCTCCTGCGTTCCTCTAACCAATACAATTTAAATAGAAAAAGTATGGTACTTCATTGAAATGGTAATTTTGTAGCTAAATCATTTCATTGCTTTACTTTTGATTGTAAAGCCCTCTAGCGGGGGTAAAAAACTGTTACGATAATTTTATTAGTAATTTAATCAACAACATTACAAAATATAATAAAGTTTCAAAATATTACATATAATTTAATAAATACGAATATATGTAAATAAAATGGTAAAAAATATGACAAATACAGGGTTATCCAAATAACATCGAAAACAATTAAGGGGTGATTCTGTGATGGAAATTAAGGTGGGTATTTGGTATAAAAAATTTTGAAAAAACTCTTTCCGGAAAAGTTATATACCTTTGAAAATTTAAAAAAATGTTTTTTCTTTTTTATTTTCCCTGTATATTAAGCTAAAGACACGAAACTTAGTAAATATTATTTGTCAATACAACTACACTTTTTAAATTGTTTTTAACACTGAAAAATGCTTAGAAGAGTTTGAAATAAACAACCTAAAGATATTTTTTCTTACAAATTTTTTTAGATAAAAATTTTTCTTTTAAAAAAATATCCCAATCACATACTTTGATTTTCTTTTACTATACGGAGAATGGTCGCACGGCGCAGCTTTCTGAGTGCCTTTTAAAAGGAGATAGAAAACTCCGCCATTTTGAACCCTTATTACGTGTTGCCTACATCTTGGCGCAATATTTTTAATAGGTGCGTTTTAATCATCCGCTTCTGCTTCGGAATTGTCGATTTTCTTGTTTTAATCTGACAGGTTAAAATGACCAAACCGACAATTCCGGAAGCAGAAGCGGATGATTAAAACGCACCTGATATTTTGCTTGCTGCTGTCAGTGTCAGTGAATATTAATTTTGAAGTCACAGTTTATTGCTAAAGAATCAGTTAGCTCACTCGGACCAGTTGAAAGTTCCAAAATAACATCCACTCCAGGGATACAAATTCAGGATACGCAGAAGACTGCTGTTTTATTATAGGCGGTTGTCATATATTGTATTATCCGAGTTGCACAGTGTATAAACTGAAACATTGAGATCAAAAGTGCCGACGCAGAGTGAGCGATCTGATTCTTTAGCTGTAAACTGTGTCACAGGGTTCAAAATGGCCGCGCCCTATGTTGGGCGTGTCGGACCTCTCTCTTGCCTTGTATAGTAATCAAAGTATGTGATCCCAATTCATTCGCTAACTTTTTTATGTCTGCACCAATTTATTTACTAGTTCGGGCCAGACGCCGTTTCAGTCTTGTTCTCAAATCTTCAAATTAACCAAAACTAAAATTTACGCTACGCATTAAATTACTAATAAAATTAGTTTTCAAATGAAGTGCCACTTTTTACAATATTTCGCCAGACGGCACTAAAATTACACGCAACGTAATGAATTGAATTCCCCATAAAATTACCTTTTCATTGATGTACCATACTTGGTACTTTTCTTAGTATTCTAGGAAATTTTCATATTTTTTAAAACCGGGAAATCACAAACAGTTTAGTCAAACTGGACAGAATTGGAAGTGAAAATATTAGAGAATAACTTAAAATGGAATCCATAATACCTACAGAAAGTTGTTAAATTGCATTTTGGTTGGTATGGATGGAACAAGAAGGTGGGGAAGGCCCTGAAAAACGTATATGTCAAATGACAGAAACTGGATTATATACAATATTTATAAATGAATCTATATGTTTGCTGATCTGAGTTAATTAAGTTATTTCAATAACGGAGTATTTTAATTAGAACCGTCTTTATTTCAATGTTAAATGGCAGATTTAAAATGTGGATTAACAAATATCTGATTGGCCTTTACCACTATGTTTTATCAAACATTCTAAAAACTGTAGGTAACGCTGTTCTATCAACATTTAGTACATAAGATTTTCTCGTAAATTAAAGTTAGAAATAATGAAAATCAGAATTAACAACAAAAATATATCTATCTATCTATCCAGGGGCAGTTTCTCCATTGGTTCATTTGCGCAGTGAACACCCAGTTAAATTTCATAAAAACACATTATTTTAAAAATTTCCTAAATAACACAAAAATATAAATTAAATTTTAATATTTTTATTTTCTTACGTGGTAATCTATATTTTTTGGTACATCATTGCCCTCTGGTCGATCGCGTCTCTGTGACACATTATACTGTGTCTGTAGTGCATTATGATTAGTAAGCCTAACACGAGTGAGACGATTTGGCAAATATATATAGCTAAAAAGAGAAGACAATACGCCAACAGATCCTTCAAACTGTCAAAGAACACACTAATTGGCGCGCCGCTCACAAACAAGGTTGCCAAACCAGTGTTGCCAATCTACTACAATTCACAATTGCACTAGATGTAGTACATTCTACGTGCATCAGTGTTCACGTGTGAAATATATATATTGCGTTCCTTGTTTGGGTTCGTTATCAATAAAGACCTCTTTTTTTCCTCTTTAATGAATTAGATATCACTACAAATAGAATGTTGACCTCTCTAAACTGTTTGTTTTACCTTATACATTTTTTTTTCTACTCTTCATACAGTATTCTGTGAAGAGTATTATAGGTTTACTTTGTCCGTCTGTCCGATGTCACGTTTTTTGTCTGCACGATAAGTCAAAAACCAAAAAATGATATCAACTTGAAAATTTTAAGCAAAAATCAAATTCTATAAGGGGACAAAGCCTATTGATTTTTAACAAATCTGATTAAAAATAGGGGGTTAATATGGGTTGAAATTAAAAAAAATCCTAAATTAAAAACGAAAAGCTATATCAACATGAAATTTTTAGTAAAAATGAAGCTTTATAAGAAGCCGACTGATACAAAAAAAAAATATGAATATATTGGGGAGTTAAGAGGGGTTAAAATATTTTTAAAAAATCCCAACTGAAAAACATAAAATGATATCAACTTGAAATTTTTAGCAAAGGAGAAGAAGCATTTTAATTATAAAAAAAAAATCTGATTAAATATGGGGGATTTAAGGGGGGTTTAAACTAAAAAAAAAAATCAAAAATGAAAAGCGATATCAACATGAAATTTTTAGTAAAAATCAAGCTCTATAAGGAGATAGGGCCTATTGATTGTGAAAACAATCTGGTTGATAATATGTATTGTAATGGGATTGATCTTATAAAATAAACATTTAAAACATTTTAGTTCTTATTTTATTCGCCAATAAAAGGTATTTAAAAAATATATTTTTTATTTGACATCTGTGACAAATTGTGAAAATGAATAAACTTACAATAAAAACTATAAAATGGTAGGTAAAGTTTCATATATTTTTTACACAAAAATCAATGTCAAGCTTTCTACATAACCTGATATATATTTAAAAATAATCTCAAATTATGAAGAAAAGTCAGTTTACTAACTAATAATGTTTATAGATGGTTTTCAACGTATTAGAAACAAAACAAATATTACACTAACTAAAATATTAATTTATTAATAGTTGTAGTGCTTGAAAACAGTATGATGTTAATAATAATAACTACACTTAATACAAACTCAAAAAAAAAACAGTGATATTGGCCTTTGTACAAAGTTTTGAAACGAACTTACAAAAGATAAAATTATTGGAAAAAGTGAACACCCATTTTAAATTAGAACAAGCCGCCACTGTTTCTATCTATCTCAAAGAAGTAAGAAATTCATCAAACTTCAACTGCGATTTTCGATGTGTTCCCATCAAAAAATTATCTGTTGAAATAGAACCTAGTTATTCTAATGTAGCGAAATGCTGTGTTGCCATTAATCAATTAATTGCCAAAACCACTCAACAATACCATTAAGGGGTTATTTTGTTTTTTATTTTTCTTTTATTGCTTTTTTTTTACAAAATATGATATTTTTTAACAAACCTAGTATATGACTAAAACATTTTTATGCCTGATGGTCGTATTTAAGGTTTTAACTTTTTAAAAAGAATAACTTTGTTTTAGTAAAACATATATTTAAGGTTTATGCTATTTTTGTTTTTTGTTTTAATTTATATTAGGTGTTTTTATGTATCTATTTTTGTTTTGTTTCAGATATTCCAGTTTTCCATACATGGTGGTGTTTTGGTAAGTACAATAAATTATTTGTATAAAATGTTTAAATCTGTATGTACCTATTTAATTAAAAAAAAGAAGATACATAAAAAGCATTATTCTACACCCATTCTTGTAAATTATAATAATTCTCAAGTAATTTCATTGTTAATTATACCTTTTTATTATGCGGTTTCTATTTCACAATATATCGGCATCTTAATAATGATTTAAAATCAAATATATTCATTAAATAATCGTATATAAATTGATTATTTTATTACCATTATTAGCGGAACTTGATTGCATAGACAATTCATTACAAATAAATCATTCATTTTGTGGTTATCCGAAATGTAATCGTTAAATTTATATAACTTCGTTTGAAATAAAAAAATCTATACACATTAAAATGTTATATCTACGTACCATAGCAAGGTGGGACAAGTTGTACCAAACTTCAGCTTTAACTTTTAAATCAGTAGCAAGATCCAAAGCTCGTTGAAAATAAGGTATAGTGAAATCAAGTTGTTGAGAAAACAAGCAGCACAATCCTAAATTGTTGTACAATTCTGCAGAATGCGCTCCCATTGATAGAGCTCGTCTAAAAAAAATAATAATATGATAAATATTGTAAAAACAGTTATGACAAAAAATATCGCGACGAATTGATAACCTCCTCCTTTTTTTGAAGTCGGTTAAACAAATTATCCATACGACATCTACATGAACACAAATTTTATTTAAAAGACACTACGGCACTGACTCTGATATCTTTTTCTTGGTGTCGTCGATCTCACGCCCTTTTTGTAGGCAACCAACATTACAAATCTAAGCATTAATTGTTGCCGATTATTTGTAACAAGTCAGCTCATTGATTTCTCTAAAATATCCGCCAAAAATAGTTTCAGTTGTGGATACAGAGGCGTAGCTATTATAGTTATAGGGCAAAGGTGGCCTGAATCAACCCTGAAACCTTTATGAAAAATGATTATCTATTAATCAAAAGAGCTTGTACGTTTAAAATTTTGTGAGCGTTGTCAACTTTATTTTATAAGTAGTTATTTTTAAACCATGTTTTTATTTGTTTACATTCCGGTCCTGTAAATTACCAAACTCTTTATTATTCTGTCCTTGAAATAACCAAAAATGTTATGTCAAAAGCAGTGGTTACCCGTGGTTAAAATCAGTTAGTATTCCGGCCATATCCATATATCAAGTTATTTTTTTAAAAACATGCTATATATTTTATCTGGTATCTAATGTAAGGGGGTCCTTTTTTGTGTTTGCACCGGGGCTCTTGGTCACCTAGCTACACCACTGTGTGAATATGTCTTATTTCCGCTATATTTTAACATAATTACCTGTAATATCTTAAAGCTAACTCTGGCTGATTATTATAAAAATGGTACATTCCTAAAGATGCCACTGCTTCAATGTTCATTGCATCTTCAACTAAAATATTTCTGTAATACTTCACGGACATCGCTGTGTCGTTTAGACCTTCCGACAATCTCCCAAGTTCAGTCATAATGGTCACATCTTTAGGAAAAATCTCTAAACCTGATTTACAGATATCGATAGCTGACAAAGGCTGGTCTGAAAATTAAAAATTCATTTCGAAACACAAATATGTGTAATATGAAGGGGTGAAAGTTTGTGAGTGCAACGAGGGTCAATTATAGGCCCTCTTCTCTTTATTATGGTTTTGTATGATGTTTTTTCTATGCCAATGGGAGCATCGTCAAATTATTTGATGTTCTAATTAATGCCCTGATTAAAAGTCTCTACTATGGGATCAATCCTATCTTATGGATAGATTTAAAATGGACACCAAAAAGTCCTTCTTAAATATTTTTGGAAGTTACTGACTAATATAAAGAGTGGCCAGACGAAAACGAAACAAACATTATCAGGAACTGGAACTGCGTCAACATTTTACACACTCAAACACGTAAATTTGTAAAAAAGGAAAATAATTCTAACTCAAATGTGGCCAAGACGTAAAATAAAATAGAAAATAAATCACGGAACCATATGTCACCATGGGCGCCCGCAGGCAGGGGCAAGGGGGGGCAGTTGCCCCCCTGCAATTTTCAAAAAAACAGACTTTTTACAAAAATACTTTAATAATTTTCAAATAAAGGTACACAGTTGAGGTGAACACAAATAATCATAAATATACATGTTAACAAACAAATCCTTAAAGGTTATTTTAAATATTTACCTACTTAAATAGGAACTGTAGCCTTCTGGGTACTAATCTAAATTTATTAACTACTTCATTTACGAAATTCTCATCTTCTTTTAACATTTCTCGGTGCACACTTAGCATGTACAGTCCAGAAAGCCGGGGAAAAATGAGTTAGGGGGTACTGTTGCTGAATAATTTTATGAACACCTTCGATTTGTCCAGCCATTGTTGAACAATCGTCATAACCTTAACTTACAATATTTTCCAAATTTAATCCCCATTTTTGTAAATTTTCGACGATAGCTATGCAATTGACAAAGGTAAATAAAATATTTAAATATTTCGAAAATGTCTACTGCATAAATTTGAGGTTCATTTTTTAATCCATTACTAAAAACCCAGACAACACACCAAATCCCAGAGGTATCCACAGAATATCTTTTGTGGATATCCAATATATCCACAAGATATCACAAATATTCCGTGGATTTAATATGGATATCCAAATGCCCGTCTATATCCAGAATATAGAAGATATCCTATGGATATCCAGCAAAATATCTAATAAGTATCTTCCAGACAATACAGGAAATCCCAGAGATATCCACAGAATATATTTTGTGGATATCCAATATGGATATCCAACCAAATGTCCGTCTATATCCCAGGATATAGAAGAATTCAAATATTCAGAAAAATATTTTTTGGGTATCTTTAGTAGAGGTTCATAAGTAACCAATGATTATTGAATAACGTCGAAAGGAAATAAAGGAGATAAAAAATATTTCCAACACTCAAAATATTTTCAGCACTTTGCCCACTAAGGAGAAAGTCATTCTTATTAGGACTCTTCAGCAATAAATGGAAATTCTCGACTCCAGTCTCTAATGGAGTCTGTTTGTGAAACAAATTTCGATCGAACTCAATTACGGCGGGTTGAGCATAAATAGATGCGAAAGTGGTATCGCCATCTATACTTAGGAAGCAAAATCAAAAATTGCATCTAGTGGATATCCACGATGGTTTGCGTTCGCGCCTAGACTTTGATATATTTAGTGGATGTCCATGGGATATTGAATACACCTTAAAAAAATTAATTTTAAATATCTGAACGGTACTATTAGCCACAATGGCGTAATTTTTTAATAATTTGCTATACAATTACTATTATTTATGGACATTTGCATGTCTATAAATTACATCTCATGGATATAAAATAGATATCAACCATGGACTGGACATTCAGTGGATATTGGGATGTCCAGTAGATATCCAAAGGATTTGGTGTGATGTCTGGGAAAGTGGTCCGTTTCATACGGGGCCCTCGAATTTTCGAAAATGAAGCAAAATCCACTCAAAAATTTCGTTCTGTGTCGACATTCCGAATAAAGATATCACCCAAACACTACATTTTGTAAATGACAACGGAAGCACCAGCCACCCGTGCCCCCCCCCTGGTAAAATTTTTGCGGGCGCCCTTGTATGTCACACTACTTATTTGGATAATAGTACCACAACAGGCATATCTAAAGAACAGACAACAGACAAAGAAACAAGCGGGTGGGCGAGGCCAGGCCTGATAATTGATATAGGCAACCAGTGACACATATGTGTAATTTTTGATGGATTTCCTCCAAATACTCTGTAATGCGCATAAGTTGTATTAGCCCTAAACATCGCACAGTTGTGCCATTTTTTACTGGGACGGCAGGATCTTATAGCGTTCTGCTGGTAGGGGGTGGGGAGTAAGTATTGAACGGTTGTAGTTAGACTAATGAAATTTTTATTGTGAAAATAAATGATACTAGTGGTAACAGGTAGAGTGCTAGTCATATATGACGTCACAGAACTACTGTGACCAATTACTTTGGATTGGACCATGGATTGAACCTTATTGCAAGTGACACCTCGTTTAAAAAGTATCTAATACCTTTTCAGTCATACTTATTTTGTTTGGACACAGATTAAAGGTTTGAACTTGGTAACAGTAGCCCTCCAATTAGGAATAAGTCCATAGACTGAGTACTTCAAGTACTGTAACAAACAATTTGACGGTACTCCCCAATGTTCTAAATATTAAATAAATGTAAAAACAAATTCAATTTACCTACTCTATAGTATATTCGCGTCAATCTTATAAAAGTTTCTACATGATAATGTTGTTTGATGGCACTTCTTAGTTGTTGTTCAGCTTCTCTTATCAAATTTACAGCTATGTAACATTTAGCTAGCTGTACTTTCCACCACCAGTCCTTAAACTCACCGTGCTGAGTGGCTTGTACAGCTAGTTCCATAGCAGTTCTCACTCCTCCGTCGCAATAAAATAAATATTCAAAAAGCGGTTTCGATAAACAGGGATTTTTGGCGTATTTTGAAAGGTTTAATCTTGAAATTTGAATGAAAGGACCATCTTTTTGAGTTAACATGGCCGCTGTTCCTAAACGAATCGATCTAGCCGAATGACCGGTCAGAGGTCTTGCAGTTCTTACTCTATCTAAAGCTGATTCTGGTCGCATTTGAGTTCCTGGTCTGGCTATTCCGGAGATTGGTCGACCGGTTGAAGTTCGTGGTCTGGAACTACAATAGTTTATAAATTTTGAGCAACTGAGTACAGTAATACGTGGAAGAAAAATCTGGAAACCTAATTATCTCGTAAATGGGTAGTCCGAATTGTACAAAATTAAAAATAATTTATTTTGGGATGAGGTTACAGATTTGACATTTGCAGTGATGCCAGATTTACTGTTTTTCTAATATTATCAGCGACTTTGGTTTTTTATATACATCACGTTCTATGTTGTGTCATTATTCTAATCTCCCCTTCAATATGAGTTTAACCATATGTAACACTTGCAATTTTATGTAGTCAGGATACCGTAAACCGGGGTTACTTTGACATATTTTAAGAGGTTCTTGTGGCAAAACGCAAAAAAGGCTATAATGGATGCTCATTCTATCTCGTCGTACCACTTGAAGTCTTCGCTTGAGAATTACACTAAAAGGGAAGGCCTAAATTACCAGGAAAATTTTATATATTTTTTTAAAAAGGTGTCAATCTAGCCCCTGAGGGGGAGCTACTTTAATATGACGTTTATATTGTTTAAAAATCAATGATAGCCATCTGGCGGGTTTCTATGACACCCATAAATTAAAAAAAAAATTGTTTTATACAACTTTTCTTAATAAAACAAAGGTTAAATTTGAAAAAAATAGATTATTTATTTAATAATATAGTTAATCCTATATAAATAAACTTATTAAGAAACAGAAACCAACAAAAAATAAACATTCTTTTCTATCTTTGCATAGGAATTAAAAAATAACAAATAACATAGGAACTATTAAAAAACACATTAACACGCGCTAGAACGACAATTCGAGAAAACCGTTGAAGTCAAAGTATCCTCTAAAGATGTCAAAGTAACACGTAAAGTTAAAGTAACCCCGGTTTACGGTACTAATTGTTTTAAAAGTTTGTTCTCTGGATTTCGCACCCAGAACTTAACGTGAATAAAGTCAATTAAATCTAGAATGCTGTGATTTTAACATTAGCTCACCGGATATATTATTAACTAAACCAGTGATGATGTGTTTTCAAAAATTTTGCAAGATTAATTGCTTCGCTAAGATGTTTCTGACTTTCTTTATTAATTTAAAATACAAAATAAAAGCAGTAGTCAAGTATTCCATTGTGTACCGCTAAAATGCCCAGAATTAAGAAATTGACCTTAAAATTTGAGCAGTAAGGATTCATTTATACTAGTTTTAGTAATAATAATTTTCTTAAGCCGAAGTTGAACATGAACAATACGAGGGCTGTCTTTTAAGTTTTGCATATAGACCTAGAATAAAACAGCAGATAGTGTTTAAACATTATATTGATTTTCAAAGTATTCTCCACGAAGATTAATGCACTTTTGCATGCGCTCTAACCAGCTCTGAAAGCAGTTATTCCACTCCTGGGGTGTCACAGCTCCAATGGCTGTTTTGAATGCCTCAACTGCATCTTCTGGTGACTGGAACCGTTGCCCATGCAGTGCGTTCTTGATTTTCGGAAAGGTAAAAAAATCGTTGGGTCTTAAGTCGGGACTGTAAGGAGGGTGGTCTAACAACTCGACGTTTTGTTGCTCTAAGAAGTCAATCGTTTTGCGAGCTGTGTGCGAACTTGCATTGTTTTGATGGAGGATGATTCGTCGGTTGGGGTTGGTTCCCCTAAGCTTAGCGATGACTGCTGGCAAACAAATCGTTATACGAGGATATATCAGTATATAACGAGACTGGTGCTATAACTTTTTTCAGAGGTAACATTTTATAACCCAAAAAATGAGACATGAAAGCCTTATATTTAATGTACTACCCCGCAAGTAGGCTTTGATTTAACTTTTGACATTTGTTACAAATTAATTATTGAATTGTCAGTGTTTTGCGTACCCATCGAAAAATGAAAGTGGAGCGAAGATACGCGATAAAATTTTGTGTTCGATTGGGTAAAACACCAACTGAAACTTTTGAAATGATTAAAGGTGCACATCTAGATAATAGTTTATCACGTTGTAGAGTGTTTGAGTGGCATAAAAAGTTTAAAGACGGTTGTGAATCAGTTGAAGATGAACCTCGTCCCGGTCGACCACAAACTGCGAGAAATGACACAAAAATTGCAGAAATTAACGACTTGATACAAAATGATCGCCGGATTGGCATAAAACGAATTTCTGACAATGTTAATTTATCTTACGGTACCACTCAAAAAATTATTCATGAAGATTTAGAGTACCGGAAGATCGCGGCAAGATGGATTCCAAAAGTGATGACCGATGAACAAAAAGCGAATCGAGTGACAATTTGTCAGCAGTGGAAAAGGCAATTGCAACGTAACCCACAGTTTTTAAATAATGTGGTTACATGTGACGAAAGTTGGTTTTATCATTACGATCCTGAATTGAAGTCTCAAAGTATGCAATGGAAGCATAAAGGCAGCCCAAGACCGCAGAAGGCCAAAACTGCTAAATGCGCTGGTAAAGTGATGCACCTGATTTTTTTGATAAATTTGGTGTTATTTACGATCACATTGTACCTAGAGGACATACAGTAACAGGGGAGTACTATTCTAATGTACTTCGAGGACCCTTAAAGGCAAAATTAAAGAAAAAAAGGCCGCTTTATCAGGACTTTGGCTGGACGCTGCATCACGACAATGCTCCGGCTCATAGATCAATGATTTGTCAACGAACAATTGAAGAATTAGGGGTTGAAATTATGGTTTATCCCCCCTACTCTCCTGACCTTGCTCCATGTGACTTCCATTTGTTTCCTGAAGTCAAAAAAGAATTGCGAGGTAGAAGATTTGAGTCGGATTTAGAGCTCAACAACGCTGTGATGGGTATACTAAACAGACTATCAAAAAATGGTTTCTCAGAAGTTTATGATAAGTGGATAAAACGATGGGATAAGTATATTCAACAGAATGGAGAGTACTTCGAAGGATAGTTGTTGAATTTTTTTAAATAAATGTTTCGTTGTTATACTATAGCACCAGTCTCGTTATTTTCTGATACATCCTCGTATACCAATCGGCAGTAACAGTTCTTTGCTCTTGCAGAGGAATTGTTGCAACATGACCTGCTTTGGAGACAAATGTTGCGACCAACTTTTTAGACACACTTCGAGAAGGGATCACTTTTGTCGGCTTGTCTTCACTTTGGAAAACCCAAACAGGCGATTGGCGTTTATTTTCAGGTTCATATGAGTAAATTCATGATTCATCACCACTTGCGATGTAGTACACGGTTTTAGAGGTTCCAGCGTTGAAGCGCTCCAAAGTTTTTTGACATCAATTTTCCCCCAGCTTCTTTTTGTTCTTCGGTCAACAGCTGCGGTATCCAACGGGACACTAATTTTTTTACTCCCAATTCTTCATGCAAAATCTTTTGGATTAAGGTCTTTGAAATTTCTAACGATGCTTCAATCTCGCGATATGTCACATGCCGATCTTCCTCGATGAGCCTGCGCACAGCATCAATGGTTTTCTGGGTGACCAGCGATTTAGGAGCACCCGTTCTTGGTTCGTCACTAAGGTTAACCCGTCCTCGTGTAAATTCCCCATACCAACGAGAAATTGTCGATTGATGTGGTGCATCACTACGGAAAACAGAAACCAACTCGGCGAGGCATTCTTTTTGAGATAATTGTCTTCGAAAATTATGGCACGAAAATGTTCTCGTTTTAAATCCATTTCTTGAATAATTTGTCATTTTTTAAAAATTCGGTGTAACTACAACACTCTATGAAACGGACTGAAACTTGGAAGTGAGGTTAACTAAAGGCGACCGTTTATTTTTATTAGAGCCGTTCTTGAGCCGTTTGATTCGTAACGCCCTCTAATGCACGGTATGCAAAACTTAAAAGACAGCCCTCGTATAACGGAGTTATTTGTACTCGTTTTAGTAGTAGTAATTTTTATAGTAATAAGAAATTTGACCAACATTGAACTCTTATGACAAAGCTTACGAAAGACTTTAATTTAAGCATGCGCGATAATCTTATTCTTCTTTTTTCTTGATAAATTGATTCTTCAGTTAATAAAAATGAAGAAGTACAATCTTTTGAAATAAACAATAAACAACTAACAATGGAATAAATTAAAAACTGTTATGTGATTAACTAACAGGGCCTATTTAAAACGTTATTTTCACAAAACTAAAAAACTCGATATTTGACAAAAAAAAGTAAAATCTAATGTGTGGTGTATTTAAAACACAGGCCAATAACCCCTTTTCTTTCTGTCTCAAATTTCTTCTTATTTTTATCTAATAATATGTTATTTTTATATGTCTTTTATATCATTTTTATGTTATTTTTATGTCTTTTTTATATATAATTTTTATATGTCATTTTTACTATATTTGCAAAATCTGAACGTTTTAAAAGTTATTAATTGCCACTTGACTTTATAAACCTAATGGTGCTTTAATAAGAAGAACATATTATTCCAATTAATGAAATAATAAAAATATTACTAAAGAACAGATTAAATTTTTTTCATGCATAGACACTTAAGAAGTCTATGAAGATTACTAAATAACTTTAAAACTAAAATAATTACCTTAAACCACTTGTAGATGGAACAACAGCAGTTTTCATCGACGTTCCTGGTCTGGGAGCCGTAGCTAAAACGTTATCATCTAAGAAATCTTTTTCGGGAATTTCCTCACTTTCAATATCGTCCACGTACACCCTTTGTGTGAGAGCGCGCATTTTTAAACACCACGCGGCTTGATCTAAAGGCTGTTTGTCCAAAATGCTTGTACACACTTCTATACACTTATCGTAGCTTCTTCTTCGGTACAAACTTAGTGCTAAATACAGAGGATCCATCTTAAAATGACAATGATATATGCAGAAATAAAAAGAAGTTCTTCTATGGTAGAGTATAATATGAATATGTATAGTGTAGAAAGTAACTATGGTAACAATATCGATTTTAGCCAGTTGGGTAGTTTTACGAATATACCAAAAGCAGGTTATTTGTATCGAAAGTTAACTAACCGAAGGTAAACTTTAACTGAATGAGTAACAATATATCAACGAAATTTGTTTATTATCCTAATAATATTTTAGAGTTGTAACAAAATGCTCTAAAAACATATAAAAATAAGAGAAACTGAGAAAAATGCGACAGAAACATCGCTTCGGAAAACAACTACTCCTTTGGCTGTTAGTTTGAACTAATTTACCTAACCTGTGCGGTATGGAGTTATTGTTGGTTGATTCCCAATTTTTTTACATAAAATGAGAAATATTTAAAAATCGAACTAGTTTACCTAATCTGTGCCATTTATATTTGACCGATCGCTAACGCACAGGTTAGATAAATTATTTGAGTTATTTTTGCGAAATAACCCATGATGGCTTCAGGCCACATATGTTAGGTAAATTAGTACAAACGCTCTTTTAATCACGTTCTTAATCACCCCTCTAAATAAACCTTAAAACATATATAGTCATATTCTAAGGGGATAATCATTAAATAATTACAAAGTCAATGTGAAATCTCAAATTAACAAGGAAGCTATAGTCTATTTTTATGTATGAGAGAGTATTAAAATAATAAAGCGTTCGTAATCCATAGGCGTAGCACTTCTTTTAGTAGACAGTTAAAATATTTTTTGAAGTTATTCCTCGAGTTTACACTTATGTTTTCACCTAATTAACCTGCTTATAACTTCTAAACAGCTGAAAGTAAAAAAGTGCAATTTTTTCTAAAATGTTTTATTTTTCCACAAGGTATGTTAAGAACATTGTGTCAAACGGGTTATGTAGGCATAAGGGTTTAAACTTTGACTTTTAAACAACGTTACGTTCATAAATAATAATTTTAATATAAAAACTACTTCTTACCTACAAATCCAAATCAGAATCGAAATCAGAAGATGAACTGTCGCAACCAATATTTACAATGAGTGGATCGATCATTTCATCAGTAATATTGTCCAACTTCCACATTTTCTATTCTTCTTTAATCGTATGATTTACTGCCTTTTCCCAGTTTTCAGGCTTCACATTATTTACAGCCTCCAAAAACAACTGTTTAACATCACTCATTTTAAAAGAATTATTTTTTTTTGAAACTTCTCCCTTTATCTGTGCCCATATCAGTTCAATCGGGTTTACTTCGCAATGATATGGTGGTGATCTAACCACCGTCATCCCACGATTTTTTGCAATTTCATCAATTTCATATTTTTTGTATTTCTCTTTATGAAGGGAACACAAATGATAGTTCTTTTCTCACAGAACCGGGATGGAACTTAATATTCTTTGAATTTAGCCAATTCTGTAAATCTTTTTTTAACCACTTGGTTGTGGGCATTTTTTCTATAAGTCTCGAGTGATAACTTGCATTATCCATTACTATTATACAGTTCTGAGGAAGATCTATAATTTGTTCGAACCACTCTTTAAAGACATCAGCATTCATGTCCTCATGGTAGTCACCGGTACGAGTAGATTCAAAAGTCAATAAACCACCTTTAACAAAACCGTTTGAACTACCGATGTGTACTATTATTAGTCTGCGCCCCTTTCCTGATGGTGGATTTAAACCAGTAGATAAATTATTTAAAAAAGCCCTGTCTTCGACTTGTAACAGTTTCATCTTGCCAAAATTTATTTGGTTTATGTCCCTCGTTGATCCATCTTTCATCTAAATAAAATATATTTCTTCTTTGGTTTCTCATTTCTTTTATAGTCCTTAGGTAATTTCTTCTCCATACTACAATATCGCTTCTTTCTATTAAAATAGACTTTCTGGAATGCTTTTTCCATAGAAAACCTATTTCTTTTAAAAGTTTCCATAGTGTGCTTCGACTCATTTCAGGGTAATCCTTATCATCTCGAACCGTGGCAAGAACTTTGTCTACTGTCGGAAATTCTTTTCTAAAGAAGAACGCATCGAAGTCTTTCTTTCAAAAGATTTTCTAATTGAAATTTTGGTTTTCCTGGAGCTTTACGTGCTGTTTGAAACTCGCCACATTTCTCTTCTTTAACAACTCTGTAAAATGTAGATTTCCCAACACCAAGCGTACTACTAACTAATTCCACTGTGTCATCAACACTTTTACATAAATGTTTGTCTGTAAATGATTTAAAACAATTAAATATTAATGTTTTTTCATTAACTGTTAAAGGACCGATTTTTTGTCGTTTACGCGGCCCTTCCAAATGTTCCATGATCACACTAGAATTCACATTGCACCTTGCAAGTTGCAACTAAACGACATTTAGTAAACTGTCAAGAAAACACAACTTGGACCTCCTTACTAAATGGAAAACCTATAATCGCATTTTTGGTGAAATTTGTTGGGAAGGTATTTATCTACTTATAATTCGATTACTGTAAGAAATTCTTGGAATTAAAATAAAACAAAATTGGCAAATAGGTACTTATTGAAAATAATCTTAAGATATGGCTATGTAATCTTTAATACACAGGGATTTGGCCTGTCCAAACCTTTTTCTATTGTTCTGTACAGCTTATGTTTATAAAGGACCAATAAAAGACCCAAAACTTGTAATAGCTCAGGTCAGGGCCGCCGAGAGCCAGGCTGGGCCCCAGGACAATTCTCTAGATCGGGCCCCGTGACAAAAAAACGCTCCTCAAACAAAAAATTTTCCTCCTCTACTTGAATTGAATTTTCCAAAAAACAAAATAAAAGGTTCTCAAGGTAAAACTTTTCCTCCTCTACTTAAATTGAGTTTTCTAAAAAAAAAACCTCTTGTCTTCTGTCGGATTTCTCTTACAAAACAAAAAAATCCAGTTGCCGGGACCCCATTTGAGTCCGGGCAACGGGAATTAGTCCCGGCTACCCCCCTCTAGTCGGCCCTGGCTCAGATACATTTATTACAATTTTAGGAAATATTTAGATTATTCTGTAAAAATATTTAAAATGACCGTACTAAGTTTTGCATTAGAAATGCTGTTTTATTACTCTCTCATACATAAAAATAGACTATAGACGCGGGCAGGCGAGGCGATCCAGTTCTGATAATTGATATAGGCAACCAATGAAGCATATGTAATGTTTGATTAATTATCTTCAAATATTTTATAGTGTTCCACTCGAAGGCAGTTCAGTGTATGCGCATGAGTAATGAAAACCATCAATGAGGTCTATTTTTTTATAATTTTTATAAATAAATCGGATAAATCCATTTCGATAAATTGAATTATTAATAAAGAAAGTAAATAAATGTTAAAAAAAAATTGTAATGTAATTTTGACATATTTATTTAAATTTAAAAAGAAACTTACAAATTTAAAGTACAGTATTGCAAGTTTATACTGTGTTACAATTTCAAGTATGGTGTTTTTCAATTTCATTAAAAGTACTATAAATTTTAGGTGTTATATAGAACAACCTAATAACAACAATTTTAAAAAACTTTATCACATTGTTAAAAACTGACACTGGACTGTTCACTCGAAGAGTATCTCTTCTGTTTTTAATTTCAGGATTTAAATTTAGGAGGTTTTACTCCCAAATCTTGGACTAGCCTTTGAATCATTTTCAAATGACTATTCGTATATTCTATTCCTCCCTGTTCGTCAACTTTTTTCATCCTAGCGCGTTCCATATCACCTGGAACAAGCATGGGCCTCTTTGGATCAGCCTGTAACATTTCAATGTTTTCATAAAATTAGGACATCAAATAAAAATAACCACAACGATATTTCGCGAAAACAAAAATTGAAGGAGATTTAGTAGAACGAGTCTCGATTGTAAATAAATAAAAGAAAAAACACAAGAAAGATGGAAAACTGAAAAAAATGCTTGAAACCTGCGAAGCGACAGTAATAAGAAAAGGAAAACATAATAAGATTCATCGTGGCATAATAAATAGTTGGAAGGAAGTCCAGGGGAAAAAAATTTCGTAAAATATTTGGAGGTATTTGGTTTAGAGTTTCTAATAAAATGGATTTATTAAGAAAGAAAAAAAGAACAACGAGCACCAAATGTTGCACATGCCTAGTATCTACAAGAAGAGAAGAATAATGAAACGGTAATATATTGTGAATAAAGATCTGAAGGAAAAGCGAATAAATTATTTCTTGTAGAAGAAGGTATAATAGAGGGTTATTATAATTACCGGTTCTAATTTTCTAACATGCTCGAGAAGATCACCAAGTCTCTTTTCGAAACCAGATATAAATCTCCTAGGATTAATGACAATAAATCCATGTCCCAGGTTTGCAGGTTTAAAAGGTTTCTGACCCCAAACCCGAACATTTGGTCCATAAGTTGAATCTAGAACAAAATTGTAATCACACCAATATCATCATGGAGAGCTTGAAAAAAATACTTGCTAAAAGACCACTTAGAATTTCTACCATTATAGCTAAACCAGTTCCTTTATGACTTGCCGTACCCCCTAAAGGTGAGAGTCTCCTAGCTTTTACAGCAACTGCCGGGTCAGTAGTTGGTTTACCGTGTTTATCAAGCGCCCATCCAATTGGGATCTTTTGATTTCTTCTTCTGTACATTTCAATCTAAAAAATATTTATAAAGGAGATCTTTTCGTTACTGGTAACTGCAGACCAATAAATAATGAGCAATTATTTTAGAGATGATCAAACTAGTAAACATAGCAGCAAGATGTTATTAAACCTTTCACCTCTTTATGATAGATGTTGGAGATAACCTCCACCACTATTCATTTCATTAGTTACTTTTTATTACTTCAAGTTGGTAACATTGACAACTCTCAGTTTCCTGCTGGATTTGATTCAGACAGGAAGTATTGTGACTTCACTGTTAACTATTCAGCAGTAGTAGCCATAATAGTTTGCATTTTTATTACATTATTATATTCTTTATCAACCTCTGCCTTCTGGGCATCTTATAAAAGTCTGGCATCTGGCCATACCTTTCACCCCTCTATAAATAGTGTTAATAAGGTGTGTTTCACTTTCACAAAAAAGTTTGAGCACCACTGGTTTAGAAAATGTTTTTTACCTCACGTACCAAAGGAACGTCCGATCCTTTTAATTGTAGATGGACGTACAACCCATATTTCATGTAACGTCATCCAAGAAGCCCTTGATAATGATATATGTATTTTAAAATTACCAGCACATACAACCCATCTGCTTCAGCCACTCGATGTTGGTGTATTTAAGAGCATGAAAGCGACATGGGATAAAAATCTTTGTAAATGGCAAAGGCTCAACTCAAGAAGAAAAATTCCTAAAACTGAATTTACGCATTTTCTTGACGAGGAATTTTTGGAATTGCCTAAACAGAACATTATAAATGGGTTTCAAGCAACAGGTATCTATAATTTAGATACAGGTAAACCAGATCGAACGAAAGTTCCTGAAACAATATTTTCACATCAAGATCTTGTAAAAAAATAACCACCACGATAAAAAAAACGAGGTGATTATTGGAACGAAAGAGCAAGAAATTAATGAAAACGAAAAAAATGGAACAATTCATCAAATGGAAGATTTAGTTAAAGAACAACAAACAAATATAGTGAATGAGCAACAAGGTAAAAAGGAGTTGATGCCTGAAGACAAACCTGGACCTTCAAACTCCCAAAGCAATATTTATCAGAAAAACATTTTTGTTTTTAAGCCGTTGCAGTCTAAATTACATACCCATAGAATCTTGACCAATTTTCTTTGCAGGTTCGTCTCGTACATAGTTGCAAATTTAAGTGTAGTAAAATTAGGTTCCAGTTAACCAACTTGACCTTAAAGTCCATCGTTTTCGTTTACACGCCATTTCATGACCTACCAGCGAAGCCCTAACAATTACAGTCCTATCACTATTGATTCCTAAAATATCTCCCACAATAGAGAACATGGCAGAAAGGACAATAAATAGAAAGATCTCGAACGGATTATACAAATGGAAATCTACTAGCTGCATGACATAAGAGAGTTTGGATATTCCTCTGGGCGAACTGAGAAAGAAGTTTTATCAGAAACTTACTATTCTCTAGCTGCCTTGTCACAAAAGGGATGCCAACTTATTTTTTAAATTGCAGGTTATTTGACACCTTGTATCCACATAATAAAGTTATAACTACACAGCCACAACACATGATGATGATGATGATGATGATGATGTGAAGACAAATGCAAATATAAGAGAAAGGTGCTATTGGACTTAATATCTTGGAATACTAGAAAATTGAAAGTGTATTCTGGACTTCGTGATAGCTCACACTCGTTGGCGTGCATCCTTTGTAATCATGCTTGCAGTGTAACAATAATAAGTGATCGACAGGTAATCAACACTCTTAGTAAATGGTTTACGTGCCTTTTTACTTGTATTTACTAGAAACTAGGTGAGCTTACTACCATATGAATTGATAAAAGAATGTAAAATATGCCTTATACCTTTCCCAAAGACACTGATGTAGTTGCAAAATCAATAACGACCCTATCACATCTCCCTGCCGGTGCTGCTATTGACATGGGATTTGTTCCAAAACAAGCCTAAAAAATAACTGTTTTACAGTAAAATTTTAACCGGTTTAATAATGATTCGTTTGTTACCTTTTTTGCTCCAGTTGGAACCATTAGAGGGGAAGTATTTGTAAATGCCATACCGATACATCCTTGGCTAACGGCATGTTCCGTATAGAAAGAGTTTACTCCAAAATGATTTGAGCCTAGTCAAATAAAAATGAAATAAATATATTGGTGATGAGAAGTTAGGTTTATAACCCGGCATCCGTTACCAAAGAACATATTATTATTATTTTTTTATTTATAATTGTTAAAAAAGTAATTTTAAAAACCGACTTTAGAATCGTACAGATATCATTACCACATCTTGACCAAATTTATACGGGACCACTCTTGAGGTATGGTCATGGGCGTCGTTACACAATTCTATAGGGGGGGGCAAAATTTTGAAAAAATTTAGTATGTTTATTCATTGAAAAACAAAGAAAATTAAACATAAAAGAGAATTTTTTTTATGATGGATTTAATTATTCTGTGACGTCATGGCTTACTTCCGGTTTTTCCAGAAATAACAGAAAATTGCAATTTATTTTTTATTTTTAAATGAAAACTCGTTTTATTATTGAAAATTTGAATTTCTGGTACATTTTTGTATAAGAAGCGTGTATTGAAAATTTTGTCAGTAACATATTAAAAAAAATATTTTCCAATATGATGATCATTTTGACAGCTGACAAAAAATTTTCAACACATGATTCTTATCCATAAATGTCCCTAAAATTCAAATGTTCAATAAAAACGGGGGTTTTTATTTAAAAATTAAAAATAAATTGAGATTTTGTTATTTCGATGAAACAGAAGTAAGCCATGAAGTCATACACCAATTGAATCCAGTATATGAGAGTATTTGTCACAAGCTTTTAAACAAATAAGTTTTCATTCCAGTATCTCAATTAACAACGAAGATAAAAGCGGATAGAATTATTAAAATAAAAATGCTTAGATACGCTACTTGTATACGGTAAATGGGTCTCAATGGGAATTTTGAAACCTAAAAAGATTTTATAAAGTTCGTACATTCCTATATGTTTTTCCATAAACGAATGAATAGTAACATATTTAGAAAAAATATTATCCAATATGGCGGCCATTTTGACAGCTGACAGAAAATTGTCAATACACGATTGTTATACAAAAATGTCCAGCAATTTAAATTTGCAATAAAAAAAGGCTTTCTTTTTAAAAATAAAAAAAAATCTGATATTTTCGGAAAAATCGGAAGTAAGCCATGACGTCACAGAACAATTGAATCCATCATAAGAAAGTCTTTCAAACAGAACAAAATTAATCCAATATCTCACTGAATAGCGAAGCTAAGGGGGAGTGGAACTGTAGTAGTAACCCTAACAATGTCACTTACCTATTTGACAGAATTGATACTTAAGTTGTCATAAAAAGTCTCTAATAAATAAAACAATCCAATAAAAAAAGACAAAATAAAAGTATATGGATTTATAAAACAAGTGAAAAAATTAATATTATTATATATTTTTATTACTTCAGCTAAAAAAAGTAAGTATAATCAATAAAAATCAATAATAAAACATAGGTAGGTATTTACGAGAAAATGTATGAGATCTTTCCTAAGCCTAATAAGTTGTCATTGAAAAATAGGTTAAATAATGTCAAAATAAAAACACTACTATTATATAATAACGTAGAATTAAAACGTATTAACAAAAATAATTGGTATATTTGCGATTGTAATTTATATTTTCTTCATTTTTAGTTCGAAAGAACCCATAGAAATTAATGATTAAAACTGGTTTCCTATGAATAAGTCATAAGATTGCATTTCAGCCATATACATTTGATTTTATCGATTATTTTAATTTTTCTCCGTTTTTTTCAGTTTGACCCTCAATTTTGACTTCAGATTCGTGTTCAGCGGTAAAAAATACGTCGGAAAATCTTTAAGGAACACCCAGCACAGACCACTTTTTTTTGTGGACCTGTGTAATTAAAGGCAGAAATCTAATCATTTGCTAAACATTTAAAACTTAAGGGATGTTGAAGAATATCATAAAATAATAATTTTTTTGCTATTATAATTTGCAACATAGCAACTCTGGTCGCTCATTTTATTGTTTTTAACCTATTTTTTAGTAAAAAGTAAAATGTATACATGTATTTGATACGCCAAAATTACAAAATATCGTCCTAAAGTACTCGAATTATCCGCAGCTTGCGCTAGTATCGCTTTTGCTTTCCCTACCTACCATGACTTCGCACTGATCGAATAGATCGCAGCCATGTTTTAACATGCCTTAGCGTGCTAAACGTTCTTTCGATTAACTCTGTCGTTGGTGGAAGAGCCATAAATATTTTTTAAACCACTTTTTATGTCTGGATAAAATTCACAATGTTTGGATGCTATATCATTAATGAAAATCTCATTGTGTGTAGAAAGCCCTTTCGTACTTCAGTTTGGTATTCAGCTTCAAAATTGTCGATTCCAAATTTTTCCACTACTTTCATTTTCTAATCGGTAGTGAAAAAAGTATTGTTTTTATGCTTTTGGGATGTAACAGGCTTAAGGAAAATTATCAGAGCCTTCGGAAAAGCGTGATGTAAGCAACGTAATAAGGGAATCCAGATATCGTCGGCCTAAGATGCAAATGGCCTAACTCCACTTTTTACCAAAGGTATCCGTTAGTTAAAGATCTGTACTGTCGATTCGAAATGGCCTGCCAAGCCTATTTTAAATATTCGCATCAAAAATTACATGACTCATTTTGTAGGTATAACCCCTTTACATTAAGGTTAGGTCTAAAGGATGTTTTGCGTTTCCTGAAAAATTTATATTTTAGGAGTTAGGCCATTCTTCAACTATATTAGCCTTAATATTATTATTTCTATATGAGATTGTTGTTCGTATACATAATCTTACGCGTTGTTGATTAAGTCGCTAAAAGCCAGGGGGGGGGCAACTGCCCCCCCTTGCCCTCCCAAACGACGCCCATGGGTATGGTATCTTCTTACTAACAAGAAAAGAATCGTAACAATCGGACAAGGTGGTAAAGAATTACCGCTAAACATACATAAAAAATGAAAAGTTTGAGGATTTTCTCATGAATCCAATTATTAGATTTATATGGGACCAGCCCTAAAGTAGCCCCTTTCTAACAAAAAAAGAATCATTGAAATCGGAAACCGTGTTAAAGAATTATCTCTGACCTTCATTTTCAAGATATAATTGGAAAACTGTAAGAATTATATCTTAGCAACGCAATGCTAAATTTCATGAAAATCTTTTCCCTGGCAACAGGCCTAAAAGCTTCCACAAGATGATCAACTTGTCAGAGTTTTGAACTTTTATGAATACAATTATAATTACTAAGAATATCTGATATAATACTTAACATTCGCTACGACCATTGCTATTCCAGTTTTGCATGCCTTTTCTATTGCTATATTAATGCAAAATACGCCTATAACTGCTCCCAAACCATTGTTTCCACATACTGCTGCAGCAGACGCCGATTCCGATATTATTTTCGGATCAGCATTCGGGTTGCAATTTTTATTTTTTATATCGATAATATAATGTTCTAAAAATTAACAAAACAAGTATTAGAAATTAAAAATTAAAAAAAAACGACTTCAAAAACGTGCAGATGCCATCACCACATCTTAACCAAATTTATATGGGACCACTCCTGAGGTATCCCCTTACTAACAAAAAAAGAATCATATAAATCGGACAAGGTGGTAAAGCATTATCGCTAAACATACATAAAAAATGAAGAGTTTGAGGATTTTCTCATGGACCCAATTATTAGATTTTGACCAAATTTATATGGGACCACCCCTGAAGTATCCCCTTTCTAACAAAGAATTATTGAAATTGGACACCGTGTTAAAGAATTATTGCTGAACATACATAAAAAAAAATTAAAAAAATATTGCTACGAATTGAGAACCTCTTCCTATTTTGAAGTCGGTTAAGAATCAAATTTGTTGGAAAGTGTACACAACGATTGTAAAAGTAGATCATTTGAAAAAGACAAAAATTGAATTTTCTTTCATTAAATTTTTTGTTGCTTCGGCGTTTTTGGAATGGAACTGAAAATAATTTATTATTGTTACAGTTCATCAAATTTCTAGAGGCTTTCGACAGCACTACTGACAGGCATCCCGACGGATTTACGCAATGAAAATACACTCTGCGCATCAAGTATTTCACTATTTCATTCAGACGTAAATGTCAGATGTAAATTTCGCTAAAACATTTCTTTTATTTTCGTTTGTGTTTTTTGCTCATTACAGTTTAATAGAACCTAAGTATGGAGTTTAATAGCAAATTAAGAGGCCGCGTGATTAACAGTCAATCTCGCGAAATAATAGCCAATGTTATAGAGTTTATGAGAAGAGAAGGAAACTTTAATTCACCTTCAATACCATTTAAAAATGTAAATGGTCGTGTTGCTGCAGCCACAGAAGTATCTAAAAACACTGTCGTCCGCATTTCTGGAGAGAAAAAAAGAATCGATAACCGTGAGATATCGGAATTTTCATCACCAAGAAAAACCATTAAAAAACCAAAAACAGTTAATGATATAGATGAAGCTGCACAAGAATCAAATTTTATTTTTTTATTATTAGATAGCTATTTTTGTTTCTGAGTTGTGTTCATTTACAGGCTCAATTTTTTTCCGTTTCTCCTTTTTGATTTTATATGGAGTTTCAAGTTGTTTTTGACTTATTTCGACGTAAATCACAACAACACACTTTTTTAATAAAGCAAACAAGTGTTAAGAGGTATATGTACGTGTAAACTACAATTACAAAAAATTGATATGAAACCCATGAAACCACCAACAAAAATGTAAAGCTAGCTTCCGTACTAGAACATGGTGTCATTCGTCGAGATAATTTATCGTTTTGTTTAATAGATCAAGAAATGTAAATATTCCCCTGTTATTTTTTATAAAATTATAAGAGAAATAAATTTTTTTCTAAATAGTATAGTTTATTATTTTGTAGAAAAACAAAATTTCGAAAATTTTAGTAATGTTTCAGAAACAACCGTTATTAATAATAGGTACCATTTTCCTTAATAAGGTAGAAATAAAATATAAACTATTTCCACGATTTACAAAGGCCTACAAAAAAATTATAGATATTTTCCGCTATCCTATAAAATTTATATTTTCTGACTCAATTTCAAAAGGTTGAAGGAATTCCAAAACACCTTTTATGGCATAATAATTATTTTCAATTCTACATACTATCTTTAGCTGCTTTTAAAAACGTTCTAAGAAAGTCCAATCAGACCAATTTAATCCCTAAACTATTCCACACTTTTAAAATTTAATTACCTAAAAATATTAAAAACTATTTAAAATAACTTGTTTAGCAGACTGTACAATAGCTATCTTAGTCACACGTAGCGCGTCGAACACCTCTAGAAATTTGATGAACTGTATATTTTTAATTTATTTTGTATTTTGAAAAAACAAATCAAAGCGATTGACAAAAAGCATAAACAAAAGAATGTTAGATTCTTGATTGTTTCGGCTTTTACTTGATGAAAATCCATATTGTTAAAATGAGAAGAAGTTGTCATGAATAATTTTTAATTTAAATTTTTTTATAAAAGTTTTTGTGGAAATCTACTGCTTTACTTGTTTCAATAAAAGATTCTTATCTTGGAAAAATCGTTTCTGATATACAGGGTGTTTCCGTATAATTGCGTACATTAAATTTAAGGGTGTATTCCTGGGCAAATTTCATGAAAAAAAGTCCATATAAACATGGGTCCGGAAACGCTTTGTTCTAAAGATACAAAGTGTTAAACTTCTTTAAGAAGTCGATTGTTTTTAAAGGTCATTTAACTTATTTTTTTGATATTGGGCAGATTTATTTTTAGCGATTAAAGCCTGCTTTAGCCCTAACTACAGTCTGTTCGCTATACTTACTTGGGTTTCGGATTAAAAAAATTATGCAAATTAGTCACTGACAAGCAGTTCCAATAAGCCCCTTCCCAAGAAATTAGGTAGGTACTAAATTTGTTACAAACATTGCAGTTGAATTGATTCTTTGCAAGTGTTAACATTGTATGTATATTGTAAATTTAGTGGAAATTTTAAAAATGCCTAGACGTGTGTTTGATGTAGATAGTCCAATTTGTAGTGTACATAAGTATTTTACGAATGAAAACGAAAATGGCGGTCCTTTAAAATCGGTAATGTCTGTACAACAACGCGTATGCGATGCTCTAGGAATTAGTTAAACCAAATTAAGAGGAGTATTACAAAATCACAATAGTGAACTGCCGAAAGAAGATCACCGCAAAACTCGCCCATCATTGAAAACGAAAGATATTCCAGATGGAAAGAAATTTGAAATTCGTGATACCATTTATCGAATGAGAGCCAACAAGGAACATGTGACCTTAAATACAATTCTCTCGGAATTAATAGATAGAAAATTTGACGACATTGGCAGAACAAGTCTATGGCAAGTGATATATCACTTGGGTTTCAAATTTCAAAAGGAGGATAACAGAAAGGCCCTTTGTGAAAGAAGTTCTGTCGTGCACAAGAGAATTAACTTTCTAAGAAAATATTCTAAATTTAAAAAAGAAGGGGCGAATTTTATATATTTAGACGAAACATGGATATTTTCTAAGGGTGCAACCAAGAGAATATGGCAAGATAATAACGTAAAGTCCATCAAAACATACCGATGGAGAAGGGAAGCGACACATAATTTTACATGCAGGAGGTAAATCGGGTTTTATAGAAGGTTCTGATTTAATATGTTCATCTAAATCAAAATCCAGTGACTATCACGATAATATGACACAGAAATGTTTATAAAATGGTTGCATGAAAAACTTCTCCCAAGTTTAAGTGAGCCTAGCGTAATTATTTTAGACAATTCACCTTACCTTTCTGAAGTATTAAACAAAAGTCCAACGAATTCTTGGACTGTTGATAAAATTAAAGAATGGTTGACAAAAGAACATATACCATTTCCTCAATATATATTAAAATGAGAATTATTACGCTCGACAAATATACACGCAAAACCAAAAACCTTCGTTGTGGATCAGATTACTGAAAGTTACCGTCATCAAGTTTTACGTCTGCCACCGTATCATTGCCAGTTTGATCCCATCGAATATATATGGGGAATAGCAAAACAATATTATGACAACCATATTGGGCCTAAGGTTATAGTGACGACGCAGTTCGGGAAACTTGGCGAAAAGCACTTTCAGTTGCAACTTCAGAAGTGTGGCAAAACTATATATCCAAGTGCGAGAAACTAATAGAAGATTGGTGGACTCGTGAAAATAAAATAAACGAAATAAGTCCAATCATAATAACAATTAATGGTGATGACAGTGATGATGATGACGATTATGATATTTTGGATGATAATGACTGATTTTCATTTTTGTTGGCAAGTTCAATTTTTTTATTTTTCATTTGAAATTCTCTACATGGAACAAATTTTTATGTTAGAAAATATTTTATTTAAGCTAAATAACCCTCTTATTATACATAGACCATATTTTCTGTGTGAAGTGTAATATAAAATTATTATTAGGTTTATAATAGCCACATTAGACTCCAATAATGAAGAAGTTTAATTTTGATCTCAATTATACAAAAGATTCTTCATCATTTCATAATTTAACGAGTTGATATTTACCCAAAGAACAGGTCAAACTTTCGGGTACTTACCTGGAAATACTCATAAAATTTTTAATCCGAAACCCGCGTAAGTATAGAGAACAGACTGTAGGTTAAAATTATTAGGTCCAGTGCTATCCCAGGGGTTTCTTTCCAATTATTTTTGTTAAAAAAATGTACGCTACTATTCAGCGTTCCCGGACCTATGTTTATATGGAATTTTTTCATGAAATTAGCTCAGGAATACATCCTTAAATTTAATGTACGCAATTAGGAAACGACGTAAATCTAGCTTTGATGTTTTTTGTCACTCATGTTACTTGTATTCAGGTACTTTTTTTCACATTATTTTGATTCTTTTCATCAATTTTTTAAAAAATCACTTTATTTTACATTGACTTTTTTTTTTCTGGGCTCGTCTGACTATGTGTCTCCGAATAACACTGAAGCCTATTGGCTTATTGTGTTTTACCCCATGTTAGTTCATAGCACCCACTCTATCACCTTTGTACCTTGTACAAGTTTGTACAGATCCTTGGGTGAGTGGGTTCTATACGTTGTTGGATCAACCTGGGGTTGTCCAAAAAGAGCCTGTCTTTTGCGATCTAGAGCTTCGCATTCGCACAGTATGTGTTTGGCCGTTTCTGGTTTCTTGTGACATAGTCGACACATGAGTTCCCCATTGTACATGCCAATTTTGTTCAAGTGTCCCTTCACTGGGGCGTGCCCAGTCATGAACCCTGTTATCACTTTAAACTGGTTCCTATTCATTAAGAGTAGTTCTCCAGTTCTTTTGGGACATGGTCTGCCTATGAAGGCTTTTCCATGTGTCTGTTTTGGGGTGCTTCCCCAATAGTTGATATGTTGTTCCCGAATCCAGTCATTTAAAAAACCCCGGACTGTACTTTTTGGTACTCCTGGGTTTGTGTCTGGTTCCGGTGTTTCTTCTGACCCTCTTTTTGCAAGTTCGTCAGCCCTTTCGTTGCCTTCGATCCCTTTGTGACCTGGCATAGTTTTACTCTATTTCGGTCTGCCAGTGTTCTTAGTTCTTCGATGCATTCCCATACCAGCCTCGACGTAACTTTCTGACTCGATATGGCCTTAAGTGCCGCTTGGCTGTCTGACATTATTTGAATATGCTGATTTTCGACAGCTCTTTCATTGTTCGTTTTTGCACATTGCAAAATTGCGTATACCTCGGCCTGAAATACCGAGGAATGTATTCCTATAGCATAGCTATGGTTAGTATCAGGGTTTTTGGAGAATACTCCTGCCCCAGTGCCTTCCGCAGTCTTAGACCCGTCTGTATACCAGGTTTGTTCCTGTCGTTGGGCATTGGGCTCCCTTATGGTGATCTCCGCTCTTTCCTGTATTAAAACCTCAAAGGGAGTATTAAAAGAGTACCTCTTGGTTATGTGGTCTGATCTCATGTCTAGCACGTCTCCTGTCACTAACCTTGAGATACTCATGTGACCTGGCGTAATGTCAAGATTTCCCAGTGTATTCCCTAATCTGTAAGCACCTAATCTTGCCTCCCCTTGTATCACATAGTGAAGAGGTGGGAGTCCTATTAGTGCCTCCATTGCAGCAGTGGGGGTTGTTTTCATTGCCCCCGTTATTACGAGGCAGGCAAGTCTCTGTACCTTGCTTAGCCTCGTTATTGCTTTCCTTTGCTGTGTCTTTGGCCACCACACCAAAGCTGCGTATGTTATTATGGGTCTCATTGCCATGTTATAAAGCCAGTATACCATGTCTGGTTTTAACCCCCATTTTTTTCCAAAGGATCGCCTTGCCATCATTAATGAGGTTTCCGCTCTCCTTGTGGTTCTTTCTAGATGCTGGTTCCAGGTAAGTCTCGAGTCAATCATAACCCCGAGATATTTTACCTCCCCCTTAAGCTGGATGCTTGCACCTCTTATGTTTAGAGGCCCTAGTCCCTCCAATCTATTTCTTTTATTTTTCGTATTATGTGTGCTAAATCTTTTTAACACTTAGCACTAATATTAACGTTTGAAACAACTTATATCTCTAATGATGTTTTCAAATTAGATACCAACATTAAAATTGAACTTCAGCTCCGTTTCAATATTTAAATCCTAACCTAAGAGCAATAATGAATTACTTACTAAATTACTTACCTAGTCTGTTTAAGCCATGACTCAAAATTCCTTGATAATCGGCTTTGACCAAACTTTTAGCTAAGATACACGCTTTATCATCTTTAACATTAAGTTTTCTCAAACATTCCACAATAAATTTATTTACTTCAGGTACTGATATTATCTTGGATTTAGGTTTTTTTCCTACATTAAAAAATATAAATTTGAATAATCGAAAAACAAAAATATTCAGTTCCAATCGATTTATTTTATAACTCATTTCAGTTCAATAATGTCTTCTGTGAAGAGTATTTGGTTTACTTTCAAGAAACCAAAATTTTTAATATTGGTCCAAATTAAAAAAATTGTTGTTTTAACACTTTACATTTTAATTTAAACAGAATCAGAAGATCAGATAAGTATAACCAAAATAAATCTGACCTATTTCTATTGATAATAAATTATGTTATTTATAAATTGAGCATATAAATCTTGCACAACTACCCAAATACAATATTTTAAAAACAAATTAATTGAAAAATTGAAAAAAATCTGTTTTTAAATGTGGTCAATTTGTTTTCTTACCAAAATTCTTGAAGATAATATAACTAACAGAATAGTTTCAATATAAATTTTCAAACAAGAGGTTCAGTTTGAAGTAGTGTGGATATTAATAAAAGAAAATCTGTTTTCAAGTAAATAATGTAACTAAGAAGAAAGATCTCCGCGAAGTTAATGAAATTTATTCCTTTAATACACCTGGAATTCTACAAAAATCTGATGTATTAAAAACAAGCAACCGGAGGTGAAGTAAGTGGCCCATTTGACGACGAAGAGGGTTAGAAATTCTAAGTTCCGATAGTTTTTTTTATTTATTCTGTTGTATTAAATAAAGTTTTTTATATAATACTGAGTGAATAATTTATAATAAGCCACCGAAGAACTAAAACAATTTTAAATGCAGAGTGAGCCAACTTACATATTAAAATTTTGGAAGAAATTCATTAAATATAAGTGCCTCTTAACATACTTCAATGATTCAAACCAAAAACTGTTTTAAAATAAGATTATTGTGCATTAACTTATTTTCATTTTTTAAAACAAATTTTCTGAAATTTAAATTATTGGGATTGGCTGGTTATTACACACAGCCTCAGTTATTGATTTACCTATGTTTTTCATGTAAAAACAAAAAACTACAGTTTAAGTTTATCTTAAATATATACCTCAAAAGGGTCTCTACCGTAAAAACATAAAATTTGTTGCATTTTTCCGAAATTCAGGTTTATGTTATAAATGTTGTTACATAAAAATAAATTTAAAAATTTGGTGGAGGACCTTACTGGTTATATAATAATTAATATTTTAAATTTTGGTGGATGCGCTGAAATTTAATAATTTTGTTTATTTATTTAACCACAGAAACATGATTTTAATACACGTTAAATCTAATCCAAAGGACTGTAAGGTTCAATAAAAATCCAGTATAAGCAAGTAAATAAAACTTAAGCCTACTATACATTAAAAAATTGAATGGTTAATGACCAAGAATTTGTAATGAAAGATAAATTAATATACACCGTGTCCCACGTAAGGCGGGCATTACAACTTTATGGAGAATAAATTAATTTGTATTTTCGCCATTTTCTGAGTATACATAATCGAATATGCTCTTTTGAATTAAAATAAAATGAACTCTGTGCAACTTCCGGTTATACCGGAAGTGACCACTAACTTCGTTATTTTAAAGGGAATACCCCATATTTTTTTTTAATTTTAGATTCAGCATGAAATTCTGTAAACAACGATACCCCATTTGCCTATTCTAGTTATAGCGGATTTGGCATTATTCAATTTTTTTCTACATTTTTAGTCGCCGGTAGACATTTTCTTAAAGTCGTCTATCTCAGGTACTATATCTATCAGATACTTAAAACCAGAGGTAGTAGATGGGATGTACTTCTTGAGAATATTTAGTTATTCATTATTTGTTGTTTTGCAAATTATTTTTAAAAATGAAATTTTTTAAACATAAAAAACTTTTTTATTTTAAAGGGAACACCCAATATATTTTTTAAATTTAGGATTCAGCATGAAATTCTGTAAACAATGATACCATATTTGCCTATTCTAATTATAACGGATTTGGCGTTATTCATTTTTTTTTAATTTTTAGTCATCGCGCCGGTAGGCATTTTCTTAAAGTCGACTGTCTCAGGTACTATTTCTGTTGGATACTTGAAATTTTAGCCAGAAATAGTAGATGGGATGTACTTTTAAAAACATTTACAGTTTTCTGCAACAAAATATGTCTTTTAAAAAGTTTAAATTTTTTTAATGATAAGGTACATACTAACTAAGAACAATTTTTATTAAAAGCACATGGTTTAAAAAAATCGTTTTATCAAATGTTCAAAATGCCCCCCGTTAGCTTCTAAACATTTTAACAATCTTTTTTCAACATGATTAGCTGTTGCTTTACGAATCATTTCACCATCTAACTCGTTAAAGGCATTCCGAACTCTTTGCTCTAATTCTTCTTTAGTATTAATTTGGGTAGAGAACACTAAATTTTTAATATGACCCCATAAAAAAATCAACAGGGGTTAGATCTGGCGATCTTGCAGGCCAAAACCAAGGACCATTTGGACCTATTCATCGGTCTTCAAAGAGTGCTGTAATTTCTTGATTTACATAGTATGTTGAATGTGCTGGGGCACCATCCAACTGGTACCAAAAATTATTATTTGGTAGCTGGTTTAAAATGTCGGCAACTACTTCTCTAAGAATTCTAATGTATCTATCTGAGGTCAGTCTTTCATTATAAATGTAATAAAAAGCTCTTCCAAAACCGATCACTGCAAACACATTAAAACTAAATTCGTACTGAAATTGTGCTTCACGATAAAAATGTGGATTTTCGTTTGCCCAGAAATGACATTGCTTGCGATTGATGATCCCTTTACGTGTAAATTTCGACTCGTCTGACCACAAAATTTTGTTTAAAATCTCGGGATCTTCTTGAATTCGTACCAATAACCATTCGCATAATTCAGTTCGTCTTATTTGATCACCATCTCGCAACTCATGAACTTTTCTTTGTGCATAGGGATGCCATTTATTTAGTGCTAAAATTCGTTGTATTGACCCTCGACTAATATTTAAATTATCTTGAGCCATTCTAATGGAGGCGTGAGGATACGCAGTAAAATACCCTAATACGTTAATTAGATTAACTTCTTCATCTCGGACATAATGTTGACGGTTTCTTCCCGGGTTTTGTTTAAAATTATTCAAAAAGTTAGCTTCGATTCTATCAAATTTCTGTCTGTTCATTGGTGGTAAATGAGGGTATCGTTCATTAAACATGCGGCAGGTTCTACTTTTGATTCGATTACATTCTCCATGAATGTAAAATAAATTAAGAATATCTTGGTTGGTATATTCTTCAATATTTTCCATATTTTCCATATTTTGAACGCAAAAAATACACAACTTAAATACATAGAAATATGACAATTCAGTTTGTTGACAGATTGTTGTTTAGCATATTTCCACAGCATACTAAGATAAAAAATTAAAATGTAAAACTATACTATATTATGTAGGTGCATGCGTAAAATTTAAATTTAAATTTTCTTAAAATTGGCGAGAGATAATTATAGGGAATTATTAGTGCAATTGAAGATCAATGAAGAATAATTTTCTGAACAAAATGAAATAAAAATATACAGGATTTTCCATTTAAAATAAAAAATTTGTTCATGTTTAAAATATTTATTTTTTAAAATAATTTCCAAACACACAGTCGAACAAACGATGTAAATTTAAAAAAGCAAATGTCTGCCAGCATATAAAAATTTATAAAAAACTGAATAACGCCAAATACACTATAATTAGAATAGGCGAATGGGATATCATTGTTTACAGAATTTCATGCTGAATCTAAAATTTAAAAAATATATAGGGTGTTCAATTTAAAATAAAAAAGTTTTTATGTTTAAAAAATTTCATTTTTAAAAATAATTTGCAAACACCCCGTACAACAAATAATGAATAACTAAATATTCTCAAGAAGTACATCCCATCTACTACCTCTGGTTAAAATTTTAAGTATCTGATTGATATAGTACCTGAGATAGACGACTTTAAGAAAATGTCTACCGGCGACTAAAAATGTAGAAAAAAATTGAATAACGCCAAATCCGCTATAAATAGAATAGGCAAATGGGGTATCGTTGTTTACAGAATTCCATGCTGAATCTAAAATTAAAAAAAAATATGGGGTATTCCCTTTAAAATAACGAAGTTAGTGGTCACTTCCGGTATAACCGGAAGTTGCACAGAGTTCATTTTATTTTAATTCAAAAGAGCATATTCGATTATGTATACTCAGAAAATGGCGAAAATACAAATTAATTTATTCTCCATAAAGTTGTAATGCCCGCCTTACGTGGGACACGGTGTATAAGTAATTTTAAAAATCGACTTATAAATTGAGATTTTTAATTTTTTCTTAGATCATCAGACCTTGTAATTACTCCTGAGGTATCCCCTTTGTAACAAAAAAAAAATTATAGAAATCGGACAACGTGGTAAAGAATTATAACTGATAATACATAAAAAAAAATATTCCGATGAATTGAGAACTTCCTCCTTTTTTGAAGTCGGTTAATAAGAATAATAGGTACACATTTAAAAAAATATAGATTTAAAAAAAAATTAATTGCTTGGCAAAACTGAAATATTTTTTAAAAACATTCCAGTATTACCAAATCATTCTAAAAATAAAATATAGGGTGTTCTATTTAAAAAATGATTGGGTTAAATTGAGGAATTGAGTACTCAAGTGTGTATATATAAATGTTTAATACAATTTGGCTAACGCTTTCGACAAAACATTGTCATCTTCAGGCCGTCCTAAAAAGTTTAAAATTTAATACGAGAAGTAAGGGTGAAAGAGTTACCTTACGTTAATAGATATCTATCCAGAGTTAAAATTTAATAAAAATACATGGGTTAAAACATTGAATACATTTTTGAAAAAGGGGGTGTTGAAAATTAGCAAAACACATACTTATATTTCGTATTTTACAAATACATTATCAGTTAAAAAAAAATTTTTTTTAATTTTTAACGGTACATCGTACCTATTCGGGATTGTTAATAAATATGCATAATAATTAAAATATTCAATTTATTCCATTTGGCTGTTCAACACTGTATATAATATATGCCAATAAATGTGTTACTAACGTTTGATAATTGAGTATTTTATAAATATAGGTAAATTTTTATTTCATTCATTCTATACCGTTTTTCTCTCTCTGAAATATTCTAAACTTGGTTTTAGATTGAATATAAAACGTTTACGTACTTACGATTGCATTTAGAATGAACAAAGCAAATTTGTTTAATTGGTGAACATTTAGTTGGATTTATATACTGACATTTTGAGCATCTAATCATGATTAATTTACATACTTTTGATACAGTTTATAGCTTAAAAAACTGTGCTTTTGACAAATATGATTTTTTTTTGAACATGATTAACAAACGTTATTAAATTCTTCTTTTTTAATGACTTTGACCTTTGACAACGGTTTTTAAACTTATACCACAGAAATATGCAAAAGGGAAATGTAAAAAAAATACGTGACTTATTTACTGTCTAAGGATTTTGTTTGTAATTTGTTAAAACATTTGGCAATACCACAGTGCAATACCACAGTTTATAGCTATAAACTGTGGCAATACTCACATACTTTGATTTTCTTTTACTACACGGAGAATGGTAGCACTGCGCAGCTTTCTGAGTGCCTTTTAAAAGGAGATAGCAAACTCCGCCATTTTGAACCCTTATTACGTATTGCCTACATCTTGGCGCAATATTTTTAATAGGTGCGTTTTAAGCATCCGCTTCTGCTTCGGAATTGTCGGTTTTCTTGTTTTAATCTGACGGGTTAAAACGACTAAACCGACAATTCCGGAAGCAGAAACGGATTATTAAAACGCATCTGATATTTTGCTTGCTGCTGGCAGTGTCAGTCAATATTATTTTTGGAGTCACAGTTTATTGCTAAAGAATCAGTTAGCTCCCTCGGACCAGTTGAAAGTTCCAAAATAACATCCACTCCAGGGATACAAATTCAGGATACGCAGAAGACTACTGTTTTATTATAGGCGGTTGTCATATATTGTATTATCCGAGTTGTCCGAGATCAAAAGTGCCGACGCAGAGTGAGCGATCTGATTCTTTAGCTATAAACTGTGGCATAGGAATCAAAATGGCCGCGCCCTATGTTGGGCGTGTCCAATGACATATATAGTTTAAAGATATAATTTAAATAGACTGCTTATCCATACGTAAATAAAACGATGAAAAGTGGGTCGAACTGGGAGATGTTTTCTCTTTGTCTAGTGCATGCAATGTTTGTGTTTTGTCTCAATTTTGAGTTCTCACTGGTAAACAAACCTTTCACAGGACCGGTTTTAAAGAAAGTTTAGTCTAGTTGAGATTTTGTTCTCATTGTCATTACTCAGTCGGACATTTTGTTGAATTGTTTATTTTATTTAGTTTTAATTATACTTATGTTCTGTTTTAAGTTTTTTAATTATTTGAGTATAAAAACTTGTTTTGTTTTTAAATTTAAATGGTGAATTGCTCTATAAAGGTTTGTAAGACCAGCTACAGAAATATAAAAAGTAACATTTCATTTTTCACGCAAGTATCAATACAAGTAGGTACAAGGTAAATACGTTTATAATAATTTTACGAATTATAATTAATTATTATAATAATAATAAAGTATTTATTGTAAATACAATTACATAAATATTATTATATTCAAAGGCCCGAGTTAGAGCTATCTGGGCTTTACAAGTACATTTTAAAAGTTAGTTAGATACAGAGAAGTATCGTATAATAAAAACTCAATATAAATAATTTATTTGCTGTTCTGTACATTAATGTCCACTGTTTTATCAAACCATTTTATTCTATATTTTACTTAATTTTTATGATATCACTATTCTATTGTATTGTATTTTTTATTTTATATTGTATTTTATTGTATGTAAACTGAATTGGGCTTTGCCCGTAAATAAATAAATAAATAGAAGAAAAACGGACATAAGTACCAATACAGAGAGACAAACACTTTTATTCTTTGATAGGTTCTTTCTATGTGAATTCTAGCTCTGGCAATTTTGGCATTAAGTAAAGCCTCTTTATGGCTGAACTGATTTTTTTTATTGAGGAAAGGAGGCTGTATAATTTGTATACCTTCAGCTTCTGTTATGTTTCCAATAAGAAAACCTTTGTCAAACATTTTACTATCGAGAAATGATTCACACACTTCAAGTATTGAACTTTGTTAAAAAATGTCTATTTCTGAAGTTTACCACCATATGCTTCACTTTTGTAAGTAATGAGACCAGTAGGTGACACTCCAGTCAATATTTTAATAATATGCCTCTTTTTGTAGTCAGAGTAATTTTTTAGCCTACAACAAAGACATTTGGCTTGCTGTATTGGGATTTCGGTACAATCAAGTAGTAGTACTCTTACTTACATAGAGGCACATTATTTAATATTTCTTGTTTTGAAGGCCGAATTATACTATACTAAGAACTTCTACCAGTTTTATTAAAAACTGTTAAAAAATTTAACGATAAAAAGTTTAATTCACTCCAAATAAAATGAATAAGACATTATATCTTGCATATCAGTTTTCAACTTCATAAAAGTAAATATAACTTGATCCTTTACAGACATAACTGATCTCCTTTTTCCTATTCTTTAGAAACAACTCTGCTACTAATTCCACAATGGTCGCTAATAACTGGAAGGATTGCAATCCTATTAAAGTAGATAGTTCTTTAGCACTAACAATTCTGTTTGAAAACGGATCAACTGAATCACCACTCTTCACTTGTGTTGAACAATCGATCCCAATTTTCTGCTATTAAACAAAGTTTTGTAAATTAAGCAAAGCTATTCAGCAGCACACAAATCTTCATTATCTGCTTCAGTAGTAGATATATGTTCATTAACTGCAAAAACACATTAAACATAATAATAATAATTAACCAAACATTTTAAATTATGCATATGTACATCCATTGCCTGAAGAAGATAACTCAACACTTAACATTCTACTAGTATTGGCAACATATCATTATTAAAGACAGTAGCCATAATTCTTGTTTTAGCTGGATTACTTTTCTTTTTATTAATAGTCGCTTTCTTTTTACCACTAATCTGAGCTAACTTACATCGACTAAGCTTAGTTGTACGTTCTTTTTGTGATTGTAAGTCAGAATCTTTATTAACCTCTTACCGATGCTAAGGTACACGGATCTTGACGTCAACTAAGATTGCACTTTGTACCTAGTCCATTTTACTATGATGTTGATCAGATTTCCACTGGTGGAATTTTATTATTATTCATCAAATCATTCACATTCACCGCCAAAATAATCCTTAATTGTCTAAAGGGACAAACTTTAGAATGTGAAAAAGCTACTAACTTTAAATCTTTAAAAAGTTCATTCAATTTTTGCATAATATCTGCTTTTATAATGCGAAATAAATTTTAAAAGAATAATCAAGTGTCCGAATAGTGCCACTATACAGTAGTCATGGTCTAAAGTTAGTTATATACACATGAGTGTAAAATTGTTTATATCTATGTTCAAAATTGGTTAGATCTCTTAAAATGTTTTGAAAATTGGGAAACTAGACGTTACGACTCAAAATCCTTTTTTAAAATACCTAACGCAAGCTGTCTTGAAATAAACATACAGATATATTTTTTTTTAATTCAATTCCTACTTTGATGAAATATGTGTTTTAAACTCATTTGGGCCAGACCGATTCTGCCTGGTGAGCACTCGGCAAGTCAAGCAATATGACCCGCTTTTCGTCGTCTTGTTTATATATGGATGAGCAGTCTATTAATCTATATATGTCATTGGGCGTGTCGGACCTCTCTCTTGCACCGTATAGTAATCAAAGTATGTGGATTAATCCCTCAAAATGTGACAAGAGTTATCAAATCCATATGTTACATACAGATGTACTTAAAATTTTGTTTATGAATAAATTTAATAGTATAGCTTACAATGTATTCCAAAAGACAATCCAAAATGGAAAACAGTGATACAGAACAAGATGTTGTAATAAAATTCATGAAAGGTCCGCTATTCACATTAATAATTGATAAAGCCGTAGAAAGACAAACGGTACAACTGTTAAAGAAAGTTACCAAACTGGAGGAGGATATTAAATTGTTAAGAGAATTTAACGTAGATGTTATAAAATTATTATGTATCGAAAAGGAGATTGCAATTAATTTAAGAGAAATTGACTTGAGTTTTTATGATAGATTTATAAAGAAGTGTCACGATGTTCATTTCAAAACGAAATCAAAACCATCTCTTGATGTTATTGAAGGTAATAGAGAAAATAATCAGAAATCGTTTCAGATAGGAATACTGACGAATCAGTGATTGACTAAAACAGTAGGAGGTCAAAGGGGTGAAGAACTCCTCTAAAAATCTATACAAATAAAACAATTTTGAACCCCATTCACTTCATGAATCATGTACATTTTCATAGTAATATATTAAGCCATTTTAGAGTAAGAGCAAAAAATCACTTATAAAATTTCTACTTTAACACCCTGTAACTTATTAACTATCAATTTTATATATAAGGAAGTTAGCTTAATTAAATCGGCTTACTTTCGATTCCAGAAACTGTGGTTAAAATTACTTATTGTACATCTCAAATTGTCCAGATTAAAACTCTTTGGCTGATAGCTGAAGTTTAACTGAAGGCTGAAGAAATAAGAAAACAAAAAAAAAAAGAAATAATTCCAACTCAACTGTGACCAATACGTAAAATGAAATAAATAAAACGCACGGCTATATGTCACACGTAATCGGGGTTATGATGAACAAGTAATGTTATTTATAACAGACATGTTATTTGTGAACAGGTTGTTATTTCTATGTGTTTATAAAATAACAGACATGTTAAAAATAACACAGGTTGTCAATTATAACCCCCTTATATGAGCCACTAAAACAACTACTTCCTTGGCTTATACCTCAACAGGTATTGAATTATATCCAACTGGATAAAATTGGATATAATTGAATACCTGTTGCTTTGCCTTTTATTTATTTTATTGTTAATTAAATTAAAATTTGTAATTTATCTTTAAATTTTATTTTGAATTGGATTGACCGATAATAATTATTTAATATTCTTTTGCATAGAACCAAAGGCGAAACCAAAAATAGTGTCAGTCATTGAAATTAAAAGATTCGTTATGGATTGCCTTTTAAAAATTGGCGTTCAAAATGAAAAGGCAAAAACTTTCACCAATGCACTAGTAACTGCCGACACCAGGGGGATAACCAGTCATGGTCTAAATAGATTAGGTATGTGTTTAGTTAGAATAAGGTTCAAATTAATACAAAATGTACGAGGGGATTCGGAATAGCGTAGCAACCCGAACGATTGGTTTTTTAAATAGAACATGTCATTATTTTATGATTACTGGCAATTTTTAGAGTTAAAAGTGAAAAATCACTATGCTTATTCTAAAATGTAAAAATTTTCTATTAATTTCGTAAGGCAAAATTGGTCACAGACAATTTACAATCATTGCCATTAATCTTGATGCGTTGCAAATTTGCACTTACAGTCTGTTCGCTACACTTAACGCGGGTTTCGGATTAATAATGTCATGCAAATTAGTCATTGTCAACCAGTTCCAATAAGCCTCTTCCCAAGAAATTAGGTAAAATTGCCCTAATGGTCAGATTTAATTAAAATAACATTAGGGTAGGTACTAAATTTGTTACAAATATTGCAGTTGAATTGATTCTTTGCAAGTGTTGACATTGTATGTATATTGTAAATTTAGTGGACATTTTAAAAATGCCTAGACGTGTGTTAGATGTAGATAGTCTAATTTGTAGTGTACATAAGTATTTTACGGATGAAAAAGAAAATGGCGGTCCTTTAAAATCGGTAATGTCTATACAACAACGCGTATGCGATGCTCTAGGAATTAGTGAAACCAAATTAAGAGGAGTATTACAAAATCACAATAGTGAACTACCGAAAGAAGATCACCGCAAAACTCGCCCATCATTGAAAACGAAAGATATTCCAGATGGAAAGTTTTTTGAAATTCGTGATACCATTTATCGAATGAGGGCCAACAAGGAACATGTGACCTTAAATACAATTCTCTCGGAATTAATAGATAGAAAATTTGACGACATTGGCAGAACAAGTCTATGGCAATGATACATAACTTGAGTTTCAAATTTCAAAAGGAGGATAACATAAAGGCCCTTTGTGAAAGAAGTTCTGTCGTGTACAAGAGAATTCACTTTCTAAGAAAATATTCTAAATTTAAAGAAGAAGGGGTGAATTTTATATATTTAGACGAAACATAGATATTTTCTAGGGGTGCAACCAAGAGAATATGGTAAGATGATAACGTAAAGTCCATCAAACATACCGATGGAGAAGGGAAGCAACACATAATTTTACATGCAGGAGGGAAATCGGGTTTTATAGAAGATGTTGATTTAATATTTTCATCTAAATCAAAATCCAGTGACTATCACGATAATATGAACGCAGAAATGTTTGTAAAATGGTTGCATGAAAAACTTCTCCCAGGTTTAAGTGAGCCCAACGTAATTATTTTAGACAATGCACCTTAAAATTCTGAAGTATTACACAAAAGTCCAACGAATTCTTGGACTGTTGGTAAAATTAAAGAATGGTTGACAAAGGAACATATACCATTTCCTCAATATATATTAAAATCAAAATTATTACGCTTGGCAAATATACACGCAAAACCAAAAACCTTTGTTGTGGATCAGATTATTGAAAGTTACGGTCATCAAGTTTTACGTCTGCCATCGTATCATTGCCAGATTAATCCCATCGAATATATATGGGGAATAGCAAAACAATATTATGACAACCATATTGGGCCTAATGGTTATAGTGACGACGCAATTCGGGAAACTTGGCGAAAAGCACTTTCAATTGCAACTCCGGAAGTGTGGCGGAACTGTATATAGAGAAACTAATAGAAGATTGGTGGACTCGTGAAAATAAAATTAACGAAATAAGTCCAATCATAATAACAATTAATGGTGATGACAGTGATGATGATGACGATTATGATATTTTGGATGATAATGACTGATTTTCATTCTTGTTGGCAAGTTCAATTTTTTTATTTTTCATTTGAAATTCTCTACATGGAACAAATTTTTATGTTAGAAAATATTTTATTTGAGCTAAATAACCCTCTTATTATACATAGACCATATTTTCTGTTTAAGGTGTAATATAAAATTATTATTAGGTTTATAATAGCCGCATTAGACTCCATTAATGAAGAAGTTTAATTCTGCTCTCAATTATACAAAAGATTCTTCATTATTATTTAATTAAAAAGTTGTACATTAATTTTCATTTCTTTTAACCAGTTGATATTTTCCCAAAGAACAGGTCAAACTTTCGAGTACTTATCTGGAAATACTCTTAAAATTTTTAATCCAAAACCCGCGTAAGTATAGCGAACAGACTGTGCTTATAGGAAGATAGGAAGGTATACTTAAATCGTTCTGTAAAACTTGCAATACTTTTCACATTTTTAGTCAACTGCAAAATGTACGAATTGTTGTTTTTTGTTAATTTTTCAAGGTTCCAGACCTTGTCCCAGGTTGCAAATTTACCATATTGTTAAGAAAAATAATATTAACATTTGCAACCACTTTTCAAAACTTTTGAATTTTTTTGACAAAATTAGAGGAAAATTAAAAATTATTTTGACATTTTTAGAAAAAACCAATTTTCCGCGCAATTTAAATGTTTGCAAATTGGAATAGGTGTTCCAAAAACTTGTATGAGTTATGTCATCGGTTTTCAGTACTTTTGCAAATTTTCTTATCTATGATACAAACAAAAACGCTATTTTATAAAAAAAATCATGTTCAGGACTGATATAATGTTGAAAATAATAAATACAATATATATTGCTTCAAGTTTGTAGCGTTTTTGCAAATGTTTTCTTAACATTATAAACAATAGCGCCATTTTGCTACAGATTAACTAGTTTCAGATCTAGGAAATAGCATCAAATTTAATCTTAGTGTTATTTAAACTAGCCGATAATTATTACAAAATTTGAAAACTTTTGTAAATAATGTTAAATATTCAAAATAGAAGTCTTCATTGACTGTCCTAATATTAATTTACTAACATTTCGTACTTTTGATCAAAGATTTTTATACAGTAATCTTATTATTTCGAAAAGAATGACGTTTTAACGTAAATTTATTAATAAACTTGTTTCTCCTCTTGTGAACTCCGTTCTTGAACAAACTGTATTATCTAGTGATAGTTATTAGTCCCTTAGTATGAACTTTACGAAACAATTCTTGACAAATGTCGTTTTATATTAATAGCCATTATGTGCGAGTTGTATATAATATTTATTAGTTTTCCATATATTTTTCAGAACATTACATTAACCATATAAAAGATAATGTTTGTAATCCAAATGCTGACCCAACAATTATGTTCGAATCAGAGTCAACGGCTGTAGTTTGTGGAAATAATGGACTAGGTGTAGTAGTTTCAATGTTCTGTGTGAATTTAGCTATAAAGAAGGCAGAAAAAACAGGCATAGCAATGGTAGTAGCCAATGTTAAGTATAATCGTATATAATAAGTATTTTTTAATTATTATTATTATGATATTTTTAAAAAATATTCAAGTGTGATACTACAAGAAGTGAGAATTTTGTTGTTTCTTTAGAATTTTGCAAAATTTGCATTTTGTATGAAATTTAGCTCAACAAAACACATAATATTTATACTTGTGCACAAGATGGACCTGGTAGAGAATTGAATAAAGTAGAAATTGCATTTTCCCCGCAGGATTCATGACAAAATCATTTCTAAAATATTGTGTCTATATTCTAGTGTTTTTGTTAATTTTATCAACTTCCTGTTTCTAGGTTTCAATGAACAAATAATTAAGTTTTACCTTTTAATATATTCTTACGTTCTTTCTTGTCTAGATGAGCTCCTAGACAAGAAGATTGTTTTCCCTTCTGATTCCTTGCTTGCCTTATCTTCTTTTTTACTTTCAAGTGCAGTTGATCCAACACGTTGTTTTGTGTGTACTATATGCTATTTAAATCAGTTTAAAATATTTCCCGATAACCAGCAGAGTAAAATTACCAAGCATTTATTTATTATTAACAACAATTGAAATATTCTTCAATAATATCGATAAAGACTAATTTATTAAAAATAGTCTTGGGTGCATATCAATTGCACACATTAAGTTGTGACTTTTAAATCCAAAGCAATATGCCCGATCTTGGGCCAAATGCAAATTACAAAAAAAGATATGAAAACTTGGTTGATTTTGAAGACCTCTGTAGTAATTGGTTCCATCCTGACTGTCTAAGTGATGCTGAATTTAAATTGATGTATAAATCAATAAATCTGTATTTTATTTGTAATTCATGTAAAAATAAAATTGATATTGACGATAAAGCAATAAATGGGCAATTTATAGAAAAGTTGACGATTTAAACAACAATATTAATAAAATGATAGCTGATGTTGTTACATCTACAATCTTCAAAAACTTTCGGAAAGAGATTACTCAAAAATTGGAATCATCTTTCCAGTCAATTGAAACTAGCCTAGAAGATTTAATATCTGAGAAAATTTCCAACAGTAAAGAACCAACTTTACTGATATTGCTTCAAAATAGGCTTGTTATTAGTTGTGACAATAAATATGACTTTTCCAAATTTCAACGTATCCTCAACACAAATCTAGGTGACAAGAATCTCCATTCGCCAATATATCCGAAAAATTTGGTACCAATTTGTTTATTTACTTATATATTTATTTAATTATTTATGAAACGAATGTCAACTTAAACTGTAACTCAAATAGTTGATGGGATATTCATTGGTTTCCGTAGTAAAATTCACCCAAATTGGCCACAAAATCCTATTCTGCACTTAATAATAATTCCACCAAGATTTCACTGCTTACGAATATGAATGTGACTTTTGAGAATATTAAATTCCACAATAATTTTAAAGTTTTGATTGTTTATAGGTTCCAATCATTTTGGAATTAATTCATACTACACTGCGTATGCTGCAGATCATGGATTTATCGGTTTGGCATTTACAAATACTTCTCCTATTATGGTTCCAACCGGAGCTAAACAGGTACGGAATCCTGTTCTTATTAAATGCAATTCGCTAAATATTAAAGATCTTCCACAATTAAATATGACAAATAGAAGGCTGAGTAATTTAGTAGAGTGAGCAAGCAATATCCAAAGAAAAAATCAAAAAAAGGATAAGGAAATATCGATGGATAAAAGGACAAATATTCTGACCTTTAAGGTGAAATTTTTATGGTTACCAAATATTGTACGTCCACTTTACAGCTCATCACCACAAACCTCTAAATCAATTTTACTCAAAACGAGATTTTTGGACATTGATATAATCTTTAATAATTTACAAAACACAAAATAATTTTCTCTGAAGTTTGGTGTTTGTACAAGTTGAAATATGTTTCTAAAACAGTTCCTTTTTTAGGCCTGTTTTGGTACAAATCCCTTGTCCATTGCAGCATCGGCAGTAAATTCTGATGGTGTCGTCATTGATTTTGCAACTACAACAGTAGCTTTGGGAAAGGTACAGTAAGTTGTGTACAAAGTTATATCAATTCACTAACATGCAAATAGTCCCTCAACAACATGGGTTCATGTCTCAAAATTATATCAACACTAATCTATTTATTTACAGAATTATTACTTTTGTTGTTTTACAAAACAAATCTTAGCAAGACATAGTATTTACAGACTTTCGCAAACAAAATAATAAGTTATTGTTGAACACAATCGAAATAGTTTTGGAATTGTGGGATATCTCAGGGATCTAATTTGGAACCTCTTTTATTTGTATTGTTCATAAACGATCTGCCTTTAATTATTCAGAATGTATACTTTTTGCAGCTGAATGATCTAAATATATTTAAATTGGTACACTGCTCATTCAAGTCAACAGGCTCCTAATTTATTTTACTATGTTCTATATTTTTTTTTAGATTGAAGTATTTAAAAGAAAAAATCAGAAGATCCCAATTGGATGGGCATTTGATGAAGACGGTAATCTAACTGATGACGCCGCAGTTGGAGTGAAAGTTAAAAGACTCACACCTGTAGGGGGTACGGAAAGTCACAAAGGAACTTGTTTAGCTATTATGGTAGAGATTCTAAGTGGTCTTCTTGCAAGTATTTTTTATTATACAACTGATGAAATATTCGTTTTTACAACAATTATGTTCTAGATTCAGCATATGGACCACATATTCCGGTTTGGGGTGTGAAACCGTTTAAACTTGCAAACATAGGGCATGGATTTATTGTCATTGATCCTAGGAAATTTACACCTGGTTTCGATAAGCGACTTGGTGATCTACTTGGATATGTTCGTAAATTAGAACCGGTAAAATCTTTATTTATCCACAACACGTTCACGTCGATTTTAAAACCATCTTCTTTCATATAATACTGTTGGACAAAATTAACCCAAGAATACGACGAGATTGTGCTTTCGTACTTGGCAATGACCAATAAGAATGCTTGAGATCAGTCGTAGATTCTGTCTAGTCTTGTTTGTCTGTTTTAGTTTTGCCAGGGTACCTAGAAATGCTTTACCTAAAAGTGTACACTGCGGAGAGAATCATCCATCAAATTATCGAGGTTGCATGGATAGCAGGAGAGGTAAAAAATCAAAGAAAACTACTTTTGTTTTAACAACCACAAAGGGCATATCAACCTACCTTAAATTCCAAAAGAAAACTGGTGAATAGGAGCAAGCTCTACAAAAAAAACTTGCAATTATTAGATACCAAATGAAAATATCGAAAAACATTTTCACATTTTGGAGAATCTTAAGAAGAAGGAACAATTTCTAGAGTTAGAAATGATAAAATGGAATAAAAATAGACTGTTATAGCACCAACAAGAGTTACAAATAGACCTAGAACAAATAGATGTGGGTCTTATCTCTGAAAAGTATTTCATTAAAGAGTTATACATCAAATTTAAAGGATACTTTCAAAGTATATCACGCCATTCATCCAGATAATACAAAAAGAAGAGTGAGTGCCGGTATAAAAAATTAATCTATAAATCATTACCAAGAAATTGATTACCAAACAGACTATATACAAGCAACGTAAAAATTAAATCATACTTTTATGATATTAGATTCACAGCAATATATTGTCCACCAAGATAAAATATCAAAAAGGAACGATTTGAAACAATTTGTAGAGACACAAGGACATAGATTCATGCAGAGTACCCATATGTCTCTACACTTGTAACTTTTTATTTCTTTATTTACACACAAAGCTCATGTACTACTTTTCCATTTTACATTGTTTCCACTAATATTATTTGGTTTCCTACTTTTACCAACAAATTAATGTGTTACAGATTGATCCAAAAAAACCGGTTGAAGTTCCGGGTGATTTTGAACGTCGTGCCATGAAAAAAATTGACGATCAGGGTGGAATAGAATATCCAGAAAGTATATTGAACATGATTGAAAAGTTGGTCAAAGATTTGGGCGTAAAGGCTCCTAAATTTAAATCTTAAAATTAAACAAAAAAGAAGAAATACCTACTCTTGGAGTGGAAAGCTGCTTTTTTAACAATGTGATACAGTTTTTAAAACCTTTGTTATTAAATATTTTTGCCTAATACTCAAGTTATTAAGATATTATGTTTTATTTAGTTGCGTTTTTATTGAAATGAACAAAATTCAAAACATAGCTTTCATCACCATAAACTTATGTCATTATATTTAATGACATACTCGTCCAATTAGAAAAAAAACATGTAGTTTATACACCATAGGTACAGTCACACACCGCTGAGCATAATCAATCAGAAAATCACGTCCCATCGGCCGATTCAGACAATACAAAAGCCGATGCAATGCATTTCTGCTATTCCTTATCCTTATTAATTCCTTACAAGCAGAGGCGGTTTCTCCATTGTCTCATTTGTGCCGTGAATACCCAGTTAAATATCATAAAAACTCATTATTTTAAAATTACTTAAATAAAAATAGTGTTAATCTTTATTTTTGGTACGTCACTGCTCTCTGGCTGATCGTGTCTGTGGTGCACTATAATGAGTGAGCAGAAGACGAGCGACAGGTGAATGCCTGTAGCTAAAAAGAGAGGTCAACACGTCAACAGATCCATGAAACAATGTGCCTGCTTAAAACCACGTTATTTTGTGCATCGCACACAAACAAGGCATGACGTCACAAAATAGGGCAATGCATACGAACCTTGCCAAACCAGTGTAGCCAGTCTCGAAGAATCTGGTACGCTAGGATACTCGAAGCAAAATCTAGTACTTTTTCTTCCTCCTTTTTTGCTCTTCAAATGAATTAGACGTCACTTCAAATAGAATTGGAATATTCTGGTACATTTTTTAGACAAGTCTAGTACATAACAAAAACAATCTGGTAACAGTGTTCCAAACCAAATAAACTAATATAAAGCCCTATAAGACTATTTCAATGGTGCTTAAATAAGAACTGCGTTTATGTCATATAGCCTGAAGGATTTCCACGAGTTGAATCCCCATAAATCACCCACTTTGATTTTCTTTTACTATACGGAGAATGATCGCAATGCGCAGCTTTCTGAGTGCCTTTTGAAAGGAGATAGAAAACTCCGCCATTTTGATCCCTTATTACGTGTTGCCTACATCTTGGCGTAATATTTTTAATAGGTGCGTTTTAATCATCCGCTTCTGCTTCGGAATTGTCGGTTTTCTTGTTTTAATCTGACAGGTTATAACGACTGAACCGACAATTCCGGAAGCAGAAGCGGATGATTAAAACGCACCTGATATTTTGCTTGCTGCTGTCAGTGTCAGTGAATATTATTTTTGGAGTCACAGTTTATTGCTAAAGAATCAGTTAGCTCTGTAATGAAGTCAATTTTCATTACTATTATTATTATTAATTAATTAATTCCGGGTATTAATTTCGATTTTCAATTAATTTCAACTTCGTGGATATGCCCTGTATATCATCAGTTTTATCGCTGTTCAAACCATCGTCGAGGTACTATGCCTGCGCGCGTTTTAATGGTGGGATTTTCTGATGTAGTAGGGCATGCGACGACTAAACGTGGTCCGAGATTGAATTGAAATTTTTAGTTCCTAATATACCGATTTATCGAACAGACTTGCTTTGACACCGTTAAATCCAATAGTCGATTAAACGCTAAATACCTACGATACCGAAAATTTATTTCACGCCGCGAGGTAAAGTTTGTTGATAGTTTTTTTTTGATAATTTCTTTCGTGCCCGAGACTTTAAGCCGTGCTATTTGAAACCGATTTAATTTTATTTATTCCGTGTTGAGTTAGGATTTCATTTGTTTTGATTTAAAAATACTTTAATTTATTCTTGTTAGAATACACCGTTCTTAATAAATTTCATTTTAGTTTATTTAAAGTTTTGAGTGTTAAATAATTTAATTTTTTATTCAATCGTAGATATAGTCGTATAGTTAATTTTTCCTACTACTGGAAATTTCCGTTAATAAATAATACATTTCATTTTAGTTTATTTAAAGTTTTCACCGTTAAACAATTTATTTTACATTCGATTGTAAACATAGTCGTATAGTTAATTTTTCCTACTACTGGAAATTTATGTGAATAAATTATACATTTCATTTTAGTTTATTTGAAGGCTTAACCGTTAATTAGTTTATTTTTCATTTAATCGTAAATATAGTCTTATAGTCAATTTTTCCTCCTGCAAGAAATTTTCGTGAATAAATAATACAGTTTATTAAAAACATTATCCAATAAATAATTAATTGGAACTGTTTGGGAATTGCCTAATGTTTTGATTGGTTATATTTGTAGAATTGCGACGAGGCATTTTCTTTTGTTTTATTCTCCGAACTGCAAATTTTAAGAAAATTTAAATAGCATCATTCCCAGTTTGAAGCGGCTCGTGATTACGATCGCTTCATCCAGAGATAAGGTGTTATCCCGGCTATTAGTTCATTCTATATCTAAAAATTCATTTGCGTTAGGTCTCCGTTATTTCAACAGAACTAAAATAGTATCATTCCCCTGTCTGAAGCGGCTCGTGATTACGATCGTCTCATTCAGAGATAATGTGCTATCCCGGTTATTAGTTTATTTTCCGTCTGAAACCCTCATTTGCGTTAGTCTCCGTTATTGTAAATGAACTCAAATAGTATCATTCCCCTGTCTGAAGCGGCTCGTGATTACGATCGCCTCATTCAGAGATAGTGTGCTATCCCGGTTATTAAATTTGTTTTATGTAAAACTCCGTTATTCAATTGACATTAAATAGTATCATTCCCCAGTTTGAAGCGGCTCGTGATTACGATCGGTTCACTCAGGGATAATGTACTATCCCGGTTGTTAGTTGGTTTTATTTTCGAACCACTAGTGAGTAAACCTCTTATAGGGTCCCGGTTTCAGCTCTGGAATTAGTATTATCCCGAACCTGTCTCCTCGCATTCTCTGCAACCAATATTATATTTTGTTTTACTGAAGCATTCAATTACATTTGATTGTAAATACCAATTAGAAAATTTAACAGTTAATTTTTGCTACGACCGAAATAATACTGCCGAATGAAATAGCAAATTGCATTTATAACTCAACAACAGAATAAACAATTCAATAATAAACTTTTACTGCGACCGTGATAATTATAAGTATTGATTTCATTTTTTTTCTTTACGTCTGATTGAGACTACTCGAAAGTCATTTCCGTCCGTTTTGTTTGTTTATTTTTGTTCAGGGTTTGTACATATTACCGTGAGGGTGGGCGTTGAAATATTTAATTTATTTTTTTTATTTGTAAATAGTTAACCACAATATATGTGTCAATGTTAACCTGCCGTATTACTGGTTGTTAATTCCTAAATTTATTTCCCCCTTATATTTCAGCTAGTGATTAATTCTGTACCAGCCCAAGCAACGATTAAAGCCCGTTACTTGTGGCCTACTATTACCTGTGTCTAAGTAACCTTTGACCCCTGGAATTTTTCATCTCCATCTGTAGCTACCCGAGTACTTTCGACGCCGTTTCGAGAGTTTGTGGAGTAAACCATTACCAAAAATCTGGCGCTCGAGAACCGCCCGTAACCAGCGTCATTCGTAAGGAACCGTTTTCTCTGTGGCGAGAAAACCCCTTACAGCTCACTCGGACCAGTTGAAAGTTCCAAAATAACATCCACTCCAGGGATACAAATTCAGGATACGCAGAAGACTGCGGTTTTATTATAGGCGGTTGTCATATATTGTATTATCCGAGTTGCGCAGTGTATTAACTGGAACATTGAGATCAAAAGTGACGACGCAGAGTAAGCGATCTGATTCTGTAGCTATAAACTGTGGCATAGGAATCAAAATGGCCGCGCCCTATGTTGGGCGTGTCGGACCTCTCTCTTGCACCGTATAGTATGTGCCATAAATATTAAATACGGCCCTAAGGCACGCTTACCATAATGGACTGTCTCCTGAAGCCGCTGGCTGCAACCATCTCCATATGAAATGAAAGCTCGACAATTTCATAAAAGAACACTTTATTGTGCACAAAACGCTGCACATAAACTTTGTACATATTTACATTTTTGTTTCTTCTTACTAACTACTGCTTCCATTGTTATATGCATGTGAGAGCCGATCCGTTATGTTCGGAAGCTAGAATCGCTCTACCGGCTTGCCGGCTTTTTTATTTTTTTATGACAGATATGGACATGATTACGTCAGTTCGCCCAATTCTTCGCGCGCGAAAATACATGGGTTTGGTCCCGTCCGCATGTAAATGACCGTTATAAATTAACACCTGGCTTTTGTGAGCACAGGACCGTCTTTTGTATGTTTCAAAATTCTTTATTTTGGAACATAGTCAATCCAGTTTAATATCAAGGTCGGTGGAAGAACCGACATTTTAATTGGTCCATAAAATGTCCATATCTTAACTGTATGCTATTTACACTTTTGCGTAGTTTTCCTGTATTTAATTTAGTAGATTTTTGTGTATATAAGCTTTTATTTAGGTAAGTTTTCAAGGTGTAAGTGTGTGTGTTAATATTTAAAGAGGATCAAACATTTCCGATTATATGTTTCATTAATTATTTTCTGTAATAAGATTGTATAAAGTTTTTTTAATTCTGTGTTTTTTCTTTTGTTGAATAGATAAATTCATGAAGGATTTTATTGGGAATATAAAATTTTAATAAATACAAATAATAATAAAAAAATATAAATTCAAAATTTAATAACAAACATTTTTGAAGAGAGTAAACAATAAAAATTCCCGTAACTCAAATAAAATAATAAGTTACAATTGTTATTATCGCAAGCACAGTGGCGCCGAGCATAATTATAATTACAAACAAATCTTAAAATTTATGTTTGTCGCGATTGTGAATTAATGATATGGGTTGTGTATAAAGATACATAAATAAAAAATTAATTAATTTAAAAAAAAAATAAACAACATACATAATCTTATATCAACATATACAGGGTGTTTTATAATATATGCGCAGGACTTCAGGACGTGATAGCTCGTCCAAAAATATGAAAAAACGTTTCTATTAACTTACCCTCTAAAATGCACCATTTTCGAGATACAGGGTGTTGAAATTGAAAAAAAATTCTACGCTACTGAAAAAAGTACGGTTTTGAGACGCCCATTTGAACCACCAAATTTTTCTACACAAAAAAGGTACTCTTGGTCATACGCTCTAAAGTCGACCGTAAAATCAAATTTTAATGTTGAAATACATGGTCATACATACTTGATGAAACAAAATTTGATTTTTATCGAAAACGGTCGAGTTTAGAGCGTATGACCAAGAGTACCTTTTTGTGTAGAAAACATTGGTGGTTCAAATGGGTGTCTTAAAACCGTACTTTTTTTCAGTGGCGTAGAATTTTTTTTTTCAATTTCAACACCCTCTATCTCGAAAATGGTGCATTTTAGAGGGTAAGTTAATAGAAACGTTTTTTCATATTTTTAGACGAGCTATCACGTTCTGAAGTCCTGTGCATATATTATGAAACACCCTGTATAAAAAAATTTGGAAACAAAAAACAGTTCATAATGGGAATAATTTATAGATTAAATAATTTTTTACTTTCCTGTATCTAGTAAGAAATGTATAGGATTTTTTCGAACTCGAGTTTTCGACGGATCTTTACGTTTAAGGGTCACCTGACCTTAACTGGGTAAATTTTGTATAAAATACTATTTTAGTATTTGGTATTCAGTTACGCCATCCAGCGGTCGCACTACCATTCCTTAAAATAATTTCCATGTTTTTCTGGTGACCACTTTAGTCATTAATATTTCTAGCAGAGATTTCTAGTATTCAAATTCATTAAAATGTTTTCCCCGGTATTAATCCGGTGATGGAATCTTCAATCAAAATGTGACAGCATTTATCAAAACATTAAAAAAATTCGTCTGTCAAATACAAACGTATTTCAAAATCTATTCTAAAGAATAAATAATTCATTTCCACAATGAATCCCGAGTTCACAAAAGGACCCAAAATCGAGAACCTTGATGGAGACCAGGATATTATAATAAAATTCATGAAAGGTCCACTATTCACATTAATAATTGACAAGGCCGTAGAAAGACAAACGGATAATCTATTGAGAAAAGTTAACAAACTAGAAGAAGATATTAGAATGTTAACAGGATTCAACGTAGACGTTATAAAATTATTATGTACCGAAAAAGAAGTTGCCAAAGAAAAAATCCACAAGACAAAAAGTGATATGGAAACTAAAAGACACAAGCAACATGGTGCGCCTCATTTAGAAAAAAGCGATCTAAAAGCGGTCGACGTGAATTTTTATCAAACATTTATAAAAAGGTGCCACGATGAGAAGCGAAAGCCTCATGTGAAAATGGGATCGAATGCATCCCTTGATGAAACTGAAGGTAACACATAGGAAGAAATCCCATCAGTCGGGACTTTTTCCTGTTTTGGTATAAGTCACATTTACTTAAATACTAATTTATATAAACATTATTATTCTGATCACATCGATACCTCAACATGAACTACCCAATGTCCATATCGATAAAGTTTTGCTATTTATATGAAAATATGGCGACCCATTCCTGTTTCTCGGAGTTAATCGTCGTTCTATACGAGCCGGGTCCAGAATCAACGACGATTCTGGCTATCTATACTGTTTCTAAAGCTTTCTTGTAGCAGACTGAACGACCACATCGACTAGACGCGCTGGCGAACGCGGAGTATAGAGAGCAGCACCGTATTGATTAAAAATGGCTCGCAGGACAAGATTACGTTCAAATATTTCTGTGCAGTTTTCATTTACAAAAAAGCGTGTTAGAGGAATATTTTTTTCTGAAAATATTCTGTTATACAATTTTTGCAATGACCGTAATTTTATTCTCTTGTAGAAACAGGGTACCTGCTTTCTTTCATAATTCTTGGACCTTAATTTATAGTTTTTCTTGTAGTTCTTGGAAAAAAACAATGCTTAATTAAACTACTGAAGATACACGTTTGATCTACAAGCCCATAAAAACCCAAGAACTACAAGAAACCACGTTTTCTAAACTGTCAAATCCGTTTTCCTAATTCTCACAAGGGTAGTCTTTCTAGACACAATCCAACACGGCATTATAACCGACTAGCGCCGACTTCAAAGGGACCACGCACATGGGCGTATCGTTTTATATTATTAAAATTAAATAAATTAAATTATTAATTGGGTATAATTCTTCCATTATCAATAATTGGATGGCATTAAATGACGTTATTTAGACAGATGCACTTAATTATAGTTCTACTTGAAACACAATTTTGTGAACCGTCTGCCCAACCACGTTGAACGACATCATGAGTGTCGAACCATGTTTCATCTAAGTAAACTATATTTCTATTGCTATTTCTAAATTTAAAAATAGCCCTTAAAAAAATTTGACGTAATTCCACAATTCGACGCCACTCCATAATGCACATTCGGCTATCTAACTTTTTATATCTAAAACCACAAGTTATTAAAATTTGTGGAAGTGATTCTCATAGGCGCCGGAACTCAAAAATTGCTTTGGGTGCCCGGCCTCTATGCGGGAAATGGCAGCTCCCCCCTCCATACCCCACTTAGGGTCACCACCCGTTTTTTAAAAGAACTTTAAAAGACATTTTAAAGCGTTGATTTTATTAAAATTTTCTCGAAAAAAAAAAGAATTGACAAATGTCGAATTGCTGGAGTTTTAAGGATTGAAGCGGCAGACGAGAGTATCAACAATCGGTATGCTCCCACTTAAATCGGGATATCTGGCATCTGGCAACCCTATATGCTCGGTGCAGCCATCACTGGTATTCAGTGGTGCTGCAGTACTAGAGTACCAATGAAATAAGTAGAAACACATTTATTAACTATCATGAATTTAGAAGAAGATGTATGATGATTTATTAATATACATATAATGGAGTATTGTATATATACTGGGTGGCCACTTGAAAACGAAACAGAGCCAATTTTAGGCACCCCAGGTCATTTACGAAAAAACGTTCGGATCTGTCAATCTTTGATTATACCTGTACATTTTTTTGCCAGTTTCTCCCCTGAACGGAAACCCTCTATCGGGGGTGAAACTTACCCATAACATCTTAAGTGGAAAGAGGTGTCGAATGATATCTTATTTTGAAGGAATTTTTACCTATTTTATAACCCCTGAGTTTTAATAAAAATCGTTGATAGATCATGACTATCTGTATCTGTAACGTGTGGAGGGTGGGTTACCCCACGGCCCTTAGGCCTCATTAGGCCTATTGTGCATCCTCCTGAGATGATAGGCACCTCCTAGCTCGTGAGCCAGCCTACAGATTTAATGTAGTTGACAACGTCGCCAAGAGATGCTTCTCTTATATCGGCCGGTGTTAGCCGATACTCGCCGAACACAAATCTTCTAATAAATGAGAACGTCAAGCAATCGTAAAGGATATGCCCGATGGTCTCATCTTCTTGCTCACACCCTCTGCAGAGTGCGGATTCTGACAGTTCCATGATATGGAGATGCTTTCGTACTTGGCAATGACCAGTCAGAATGCCTGTGACTAGGCGCAGATTCTGTCTAGTCATAGTCAAGTATTTGTATGCTGCAGTGTTGTCAGGATAATTTAAGAGCTCCTGGCAACTCTGTAACTTCTTGATTCATCCCAACAATGTAAAAATTATGGTAAACCGGTTTTGTACTTTTGGTATGGGCTACGAGGGTTATAATCTAGGTAAAACTACCTTAAAAATAAAATATCATTTGACCCCTCTTTGCATTTAAGATTTAGGGGAGAGTCTGACCTCTACTAGAGGGTTTCCATTCAGGGGTTGAAACTGGCAAAAAATGTTTCCCCCTAAAATCAAAAATTGATGGGTCTGAGCGTTTTTTAAGTAAATGACTTAAGTTACTCGCGAGCAATACTAGAGCGCTGTTTCTGACTCTACATGAACGTTCTTGTTTAACGGTGCTTGATCTGGAGCAACTTCCAAATGTTTTCGTTTCACCCCTTAAGCATTTGCTCGATAGCATATTATGTACAGAGCTCTTGTCTGGATAATTGTAGATCGTTATTAGTCATTCTTTTTTGATGTAATAGGGTTTTATACAACAAGAATAATAAACCCTTAAGTCCAAGTTCAACGCGTTGTCTGTGACAACTGACAGCGACTTTTTTAACACAGAAAATACAGCTCCGAACGATAATATTTTTAGAAATTGTTTTTAAAAATGGGTTCAGAGTACGGTAAAGAATGATGGAAAGTCTATAGTTTGTTTTACTTTTAATGCATATTTTAATAAGTGATATTTTACAAATATTTAAAAGTTATGGACTTTCCATCATTTTTTTATAGTATTTAAAAGCTAAAACGCAAAATACACTTTTATTTTTGTCCTAATTATTTCAGGAAAGTTTTGTTAATATTTAAAAATGTACTGCCGATGAGGTGGCGCCAATTTGCAACCGTGCTAATTCAAAACAAACCTTTTATTAAACTCATCGTGTTACGTATTTGTTGAAATTGAGAGATAGAAATTTAAAGTGACGAATAAAAAATTGTTTTCTAACCTAAGAAAAAAATTGAGTTGGGTCTTAAAAAGAAAGCTTTAATATTTTACATTAGGATTATCGTAACTTGCAACGTCACAGCACACAACTCTGACAGCCAATAAAAAACTGATGGCCCATGAGGCTTCCTGTCGCTCTACCAACTTGGGCCACGACAGCTTCTTCATTTCACTTATTGGCACTTTTTGTCCACGTTTTGCTATGGGTGCTCCGCACCTTGTTTAAAACTGCTCCGGGTGCTTGCGCACCCAGAGCCCCGGGGATTCGGCGCCTATGGTGATTCTAATGATAACCCAACCTCTAAGGTTGGGACTTGGTTTTCTTTATACGTGTTGTAAACCGTTCGTCGAATCACATCTTTAAATGCATCATCTATCCGACGGCTGACGACACGTTTTCGTTTTTGACTGTGTTTAATAACGCCTCGTTTAATAACGAAATAAATTGAAAATAGGGAATTTTTGCTAACTTACATATTCTTTTAACTGCATCTGTTTGTGAAATATTTGGATTTTCTGATTTAAGACAAACAAATATATTTAAAATGACCTGTTGAACTTCAATATGTAAGTCTTGGTTTTTGAATTCCCAAGATTGTGTTTCACCTTGATTGTCATTATTATGAATTGCATTATTAATAGCAATTTCATTATTAATGTGAATATCATCATTAACCTGCAATTCATTAGCATCTACATTTACCTCAAATGGTCTCCAAAAAGCCATCTCGTACAACACAAATCAAAATTTAACAGAAACACCTTAAAATAAAAACAAGAAAAGTTTATAGGTATAACAAACGTTTGAGAACGGTTTTAGACCGTGCACGCTATTGAATAACGACATAATAACCGAAGAGTCCGAAGACCGGTCTTTACCGCGTGCCATAAATTATAAAAACTTATTTCGAACACGCCTCCAAGTTCCCGATTGCGATGTTTTCATTGGTAGACAAAGAAGATGATGGGCTTGTGACACACGTCAATCAAGTCCACGTTGTCTAGCGGCTCCTGTGTTTTAAAAGGGGAGTATACAATATTTTTCGCGCTTATTTGCAATGTGAGGATATAGCATTCTCAGCGCTTATAACTTAAATTATTACACGCCTCCGGTACAAACACTATATTGGATTGATTTTGGAAAGAGTATAATACTAAAGAGTAGAAAAGTAATAATCTTAGTTGAGAGTTATAGAAATATTTTAAGAGGAATTGAACCTCTTCGATTTTTGGTCGTATCCAAAGGTACCACTCACTTTATTTTTCTACATTTCATTTCATATTGGATTAACCACTAATTATTTAATATTCTTTTGCAAAGAACAAAAGTTGAAATCGAAAATAGTGCCAGTAAATGAAATCAAAAGATTCGTTATGGATTGCCTTGTAAAACTTGGCGTACAAAATGAAAAAGCGAAAGTTTTCACCAATGGTCTAGTATCTTCCGATAACAAGGGAAACGCCTGTCATGGCATTAACAGATTAGGTAAGTTGATTTAATAGCTCGAAAATTAAAAAAACTGAGCTTAAAAAATAAAATCTTAGATTATTAAGTTATTTATAGCACTATACCAAAGTTACATCTACCTCGAAACATTTTTTCTATAGATATTCATTGAAAACGAAAATACTGAAAAATTTAAATTTCCTACAATTTTTTCATTACGGTCCATTTTAGAAAAATCATGTATAAACAAAAATTATAGAGATCGATATCGCAAACAACTTTTAGTTCAACAATTTTCATAAAAATCAGAATTTTGCACATTTTGTCAAATTTCTCGAATACGGACCATTTCAGGAAATTTTGACATAAAACAGAAATTATAGATAATAATATTAGAAGTAACTTTTATTTGAACAATTTTTTTCTCCAAACATAAATAACATATATTCCATAATATATAAAAACCGCCTCCCATAAAGTACCCCCCCAGATGTTCCGACTTTGTCCAAAATCTAATCATTTCACGTCAGGCCGAAATAAAACTTAAGTTTAAAATTTAATGTTTTTTTCTCTATCCGTTTTTGAGTTTTCTTCAAAATTTACAATTTTCTCAAATTTCTCGAATACAGTCCATTTTAGAGAAATTATGTATAGGATAAAAATTATAGAAAATTATATTACAAATAACTTTTATTTGAACAATTTTTATAAAAAAATATTTTTTTACATTTTGTCAAATTTTTTGAATACGGACCATTTTAGGAAAATTTTGTATAGAACAAAAATTATAGACAATAATATAAGAAGTAATTTTTGTTTGAAGAATTTTCTTTCCCAAACGTAAATAACAGATATATTCCATAAAATATAAAAATGACCACCTATAAAGTACCCCCCCAGATGTTCCGACTCTGCTCAAAATCGAATCAGTTCATGAGTTATGCGACACACAGACACACACACACACACACACAGACACACACACACACACACACACACACACACACACACACACACACACACACACACACATACACACACACACACACACACACACACACACACACACACACACACACACACACACACACACACACACACACACACACACACACACACACACACGCACGCACGCACGCACGCACGCACGCACGCACCCCCACACAACACACAACACACAACACACACACACAATCATTGCGAAAATAGTCAAAACGGATTCAGGGAACCTCAAAACGTAAAAATCCGGCGAAAACCGGAGGTCGAAAAAAATCATGATTCCTATACTTTCCTTATATCTGTATACAGATAGGAAAGTAAAAAGAATCAGAAATTAGACAAGGTGGTAAAGAATTACTGTTAAACATACATTAAAAATGAAGAGTTTGAGGATTTTCTAATGGAATCAATTATTAGATTTTGACTAAATTAATATGGGACCACCCCTTTCAAACAAGGCACCCCCTTACTAATAAAAAAAGAATCATGAAAATGGGACAAGGTGGTAAAGAATTATCACTAAACAGACATAAAAAATGAAGAGTTTGAGGATTTGTTCATGTACCCAATTATTAAATTTTGACCAAATTTATATGAGACCACCACTGAAGTACCCCCTTTCTAACAAAAAAAGAATCATTGAAATTGGACACTGTGTTAAAGAATTATCACTGAACATACAAAAATATACCGACGAATTGAGAACCTCCTCCTTTTTTTGAAGCTGGGTAAAAAAGAAAATCCATTTTTTAAATCTTCTGAGGGATGTACCTATACTGGGGAGGGTTTTATCAAACAACTTTTTACCAAATACTTATTAATTTTCATCAGAAAATCACCCCTTTCAGTTTTATTTAGTAACACCGCATATACGATTCACATACACTATTTTTTCTACTCCCTTAAACGAATCTTTTTTTTATTTTTTAGAAAGTTTCATTATTGATATAAAAGAAAAGAATTGTAATGCAAACGCTGACCCAACAATTACGTTAGAAACTGAGTCAACGGCAGTAGTTTCTGGAAATAATGGATTAGGTTACGTAGTTGGAATGTTTTGTATGAATTTGGCAATAAAAAAGGCAGCAAAGACAGGCATAGCCATGGTTGTAGCCAATATTAAGTATAATCTTATATATCTAGTTTTTTTTTTAATATTTTTAAGAAGGATTTTCTGAAAGAATTAAATATTGCATTTATTTTTTAACACACTGCTCTAATAACTTAAAGGGTATATACTTCATTTTGAAATTTTCGTATTGTAGGTTTTTATTTTGATTCTATATATTTGGGAATATTAATATTACGTTCATTCTGTTTAGTCATTTTTCACTTATTTATAGATTCCAACCAATTCGGATGTAATTCATTTTATACTGAATATGCTGTAGAACATGGATTTATTGGTTTGGCATTTACAAATACTTCCCCTGCTATGGTTCCAACTGGAGCTAAACAGGTACGAAACTCCTGTTTTTTTAATCAAATAGGCTAAATATAATATGCTTGCCTTAGCATGCAATAAGATTATTGATCTTTTGCATACGTAACATGTTTATCACACCAGAGTGAACTGTATTTCATCTCGAATTTTCCATCTACAATGCATCTATAGGCTTCTGATTATAGACAGACGATCGATCATAAAAAATAAATATTTCAGTATTACCGCGGTTCATTGCGAATTAAGAACACCACACTACATTATTCATTAATTATTTACAATATATACATATCTTACTCAGAACATTTATAATCTTTTTGGACGCCATTGAAGCGTTAGGTAAAGACTGATAAACGACGTGACTTTGATAAAGGTTGAAACTACGTGCAAGGGATGTTGCGATACTACTGATATGATACTGGAATCGATACTTTTCTTTCGATACCGAATAATTTACTTTTGTTTCGATACTACTACTTTCGTTTCAATATTTTACTAGTTTTGACTTTACAATACAAACACAAAAATTATATTGTATATATGGTATGGTCACAGCTTATACAATACAGCTAAAACACTCTCTTGGCGGCAACGGTTTGCGTCGATTTCGTCGCGCATCGCTTAAGCTCCGCCTTCGAAGGGAAAAGACGGTTTTGGCGTTCAGAAGCGTACTTAGGCAAGGTGTTGAGTCGTGCGTATAATTTCGTTGATTGTATAATTTCGTGGAGCCTATAATTTCGTTGATTTTGTTTGAGTTAAAGGTACTGTTATTATTTTGGTGACTCTTTAGCTGTGAGTAGAATGAGTTTGTGCAGTCAAAAGCTGTTTTAATAAGGGTTATACCTGCAAGAAAACATTCTTTAGTTTTCCCAAGGACCCAAACCGATAAGTACTACATTATAAGAAATTTTCATTGTTAAAAATATAATTTATACAGGGTGTCTCATTAGTGCGTTATTGTTCATTATTTTGTTGTAGACACGCAAGAAAGTTTTAAATAAAAGTTATATGGATTTGAAAAATACCTACATATTTTAAAAATATCTTTGGATATACAGGGTGTCACGTTTTTGCCTGGAAAATTAAAATGTATGTTTTTTAAATGGAACACCTTGTATTTTATTTTATGATGAAATTATTAACACCCTAAATTATTGTAAAGACGAATTGCTACAGAAAATTTTTATCAGGTATGTGTGTGGTTACCTTTTAATAAAAGCCTTGCGGATCCACTCCTGCGATACCTGTCTTAAATATAACAAAGATCACGTTGAATTAGACGATTTTTCTTTTTATTGCTTTTAAAAGGCATATGATAACGCCAATTCAGATACATTTGGAAATCTGCAACTGTCAAATGATGAATTTGTAGAACTAATATTCAATATTGAAAAGATATTTTAAAATAATTTTGAAGAATTGGCTACAAAAAATAACATTTGTACCACACTTTTAGAATTAATTAACCCAATACCCTTTAGTCATCCATGCTAACGTTTTCCAAAAGAATAACTTATTTTATTGTATGTTTAATTAGTTTGACAGAATTGTCATTTATTTAAAATTTTAAAAATAATAGCAGTCGGTTGATCAAAATATGAACGGTGATTGGCGAATTTTTTTTTTTTTGCAGTGTTCTCACTACCTAGAATGGATATGAAATATATTCGTTCAATTGAAGGCAATAGCATACTTTTTCGTTTTGTAATCTGTGCATGGATATTAGCCAATCTACGCACATACTACAAAACGAAAAATTATGTTATTGCGTTCAACTACGAATATATTTCATATCCATTTTAGGTAGTGAGAACACTTTAACAAAATTAAATCTACAAATCACAGTTCATATTTTGGTCACCCAACTCCTATTATTTAAAAATTTTTAAATAAGTGATAATTCTGTTAAACTAATTGTCAATATATATTTTAGTTATTGATATTAAATATACATTAAAATTTTTGTGTAGACTCGATAAATAATAGCATTTTTGTTTTTATTATGTCCACATTTAAAAAAAAATAAATTTTAATCAAACTACATGATACTAATTTAATTACGAGTATTAAATTGTTTTAACCTGAATGTTTCGGTGAAGATGAGGACAGAACATCTGCCTTCCATGCGAAAAGCCCGGGATCGAATCTAGGCCGAGGACTAATTAATTTTTCATGTTTATTTTATTTTATAAATTAGTCAACTTCGTAAATTATTTTAAAATTAGTTATTTTGTCTAAATAACCTAAAATAATTTTTTAAATTTGTAGATTTTCGTTAGTGGGTCGTAGAAAAAATATACTGACCATATCGAGTGGATTGTTCATATCACAATCAGACGATTGAGTACTCCACCTACAACGTCGTGCTCAAACTTCGTCTTTGTGTGATATGGCTATCATATCCACCCTTGTTGAACAAACTACAGTTTATTTGTTTTCTTGGTTTAAGTTTTACATCAGAAATAAGAACTAAATTAATTTACTTTTCAAGTTTTCTTGTAAAAATCGATATTACTTTCTCCAAGTACAAATTTAGTACCTACCTAAAATAAGTACTAATTATGTAATATCGTGTAATATTGTAATTCAAATTTCACATTACTATAAAGTTTCAAAATTCCCTACTTCGGTATGGTCAGATAAAAATTGAATATATTATATTAATAAAAACTGTTAAAGTATTACTTCTACAAATCTGTATTTCAATTAATAAGAATACATCTAAATATAACCAATATTGTTAAAATAAAAGCACAAATTCTTTATAATTCCAAAATACCATAGAGTTCCCAGACCTCAGTCGAAGCATTCGTTTATCTAGGTATAAACCCTTTGCGCGAAGAGTAACACTTGCCAGAGACACGGGGTACCACTTGATTTGCATCCACGAGCATGACACATTTCTTTAACAATTGAAGCCCTTGGTGTAAAAAGGATCCAAGTCACAATTTGTCGTGAAGTGACTGTTTTTAGCTCAAAACATTTGTTAACGAGGATTTTACTAGCCACATACAAATTATTTTACCTCTAATCCGAAAGATGTGCTATTTTTCGTAATATTTATATTTAAATAATTTTTTTAATTATATTTGACAGATTTAAAACAAATTAAAAATTTAATTTCCCAAAACTTACTTAACATGGCATGTAACCAACCTTATTACGTCAAGGTTTTCAATTTTTTCAATAATAAAAAAATTGCTTAATCCGGGCCCGACTTTTCCCTTTAATCTAACAGAGATAGCACCATTCTGTCTTGCTTGGTTCTCGACCGCCAGATCAAAGACGCCGACACGGAGTTGTGGAGCTGTATTGTATAAGCTGTGGTATGGTCGTACCTTATGACTTTTTTTTGGTTGTTCTACACTCTTCCCGATATCGTTATCGATACTTTCGTTCCGATACCCTTTCGATACCGGTATCGATACTTTGGTTCCGATACTCTTTTCGATACCAGTATCGATACTTTACTGATAACGCAACATCCCTATACGTGCCCCGGTCCAAGAACCATTACGGCTCGCGCATTCATTTCGCGCATACATATTACCAACTGTCTTTCTTTAACTTAATCATTAGTATTGATTTTGTAATTGTGCATTTCTATTAGTTAATAACCGCGTTAGTTATTTTTATTTCATTAAATTTGCAAACCTTGTCCTAAATTGATTCTAAAGTAAATTCAACAGGGGCGGCCTTGAATCATTCCCCGATTCTGAAACTTATGTTAAAGGTATTTTTAACAATGTTGTTTGAAACGCTGTATACTAATCAAATGGTTTCACACTCTGAACCATGGATTGGTTTGTTTCTGGATCCTAGAAATATATTTTATCCATGGTAACAAGTAACAACGAGCATTGTTTGCAACCCTAGCATGCTTTTACCTTTGCTCCATTTTGATACAATTTCAGAGATTAATTGATTATGAATTTGCATCGATATTTTCGGATAGTGACACCAGTCTTCCTGGTTTCTCCATTCTTCTCCACTCTAATCAAATGTTTGTGCTTATCCTCCATTTTGATTTTGTTAAACCCTAGTCTTATTTAAGCTGTAGGCTTGACGTATACTACCTCCGATCATTGTGGACTGTGTTCAAGTTAGATTACCTGTGGTGGAGGCCTTATGCTCCACCCTGTAGCTTCTGGAAGATATTCTGATCATGTTGACCCTTGAAGTTCTAGTTGAAGCACTGGGTGTATTAAAAAAAACCATCACCCTTCATTTGATTTTGGTATATTCACTGATTGATACGTTCACATATTTTAATACATTTACAAACTTTTATTTTTACATATGATTATTGATAAAGAGTTACATAGTTTAACTTTTAAGAAAAATGAAATCGCAAACACTTGTAATGATTACCGCGATTACCGGCTTTTTTAACTTTGATTTTTTACATGTTGCTTGTTCGTCTGAAGAAAGTGAAAACGAAAGTGAGCTTACTTTCGTCCCGCGTTAATTGTCAACCCACAACGGTTTTTACCCTTCTTTCTAATTGGCTTTCTTTACTCGTATGATTTTGCACGCGAGACCACTGTTTCGAGTACGTCTGCATTCTGATTGGGTGAAATATCTCACATGATTGTTTTTAACTGCATCTTGAGACTGCCGGTGTCGTTAAAGGTTATTTGAAAGTTAAGAGGGGTTGATATTGAACAGCTTTGGATATTATTGGTTTATACAGGGAGTGTCTATTTAGTATTTTATTCTTTTTTATTTGTTAAGTGTGGATTTAGGTTAATCTGCCCTACAGATAAGACATGTTGAATGTAATTTCAACAGACTTGTTGATTTAAGCAAACGAGTTATACTAATTTAAAAAATATACGTATTTTTCTTAGGTATGTTACGGGACTAACCCTATGTCGATAGCAGCGCCAGCAGAATTTAGTGATAAAGTGGTGGTTGATTTTGCAACAACGGCAGCAGCTGTAGGAAAGGTATTTTATTTAGTGTGACTCAAATTACTTGCAACAAAGCATTGGTTTAAGTTTTAAAGATTTAATATCGATTTTAGAGAAAAGTGCTTTAATCTCATGTTTTGCAAGACCTCTCTTTTGCTTTTTACTTCAGATATTTAGAACCCTAGATCCAAAATGCTTACATACCTGTCAGCAGTATCAATATAATACACCATACTACCTACTATCGAATTAATCTTTGTTGTAATATTAAATCACTTTATCGTGTTGCGGTTGTTTTTGCAGATAGAATTGGCCAAAATGAATCTACAAAGAATTCCTCTCGGATGGGCTCTCGACGAAAATTGTAATCCAACTACTGATCCAGCGGTTGCATTAAAAGTAAACAAACTTTTACCCCTAGGAGGCGATAACAGTCACAAAGGAACTTGTCTGGCGCTCATGGTAGAGATTTTGAGCGGACTATTGGCAGGTAAATTTGCTATAAATGCAGCTCGCTGACTGATTGTAACCGTCACTTTTTTCATATATTTTTTGAAGGTTCAGCTTATGGTCCAAATATTAAGAAAATGGGTTCAAAGGATCAAAAACCTGCTAATTTAGGACACGGATTCATTGCCATTGATCCCAAAAAATTTGCACCTGGCTTCGAAAAACGTCTCAGTGACCTTATTGGATACGTTAGAAATCTGGAACCGGTAATATTTTCTTTAAAATCAAAAACAAAGGTATTTCGTGAAGAAATTGACGTACTTTCCATTCGAGAAACATACAGAGAGGCGTCATAGATAACTTGTTTAATTAACAACGCTTAGCACCTCAATGGCGCGCAGCGATTGATAATTCTTAGACATTTGCAGATCCCGTTTAGAAGAGATTAGCCGTCATCAAGATATTGTGGCTTTTGTTATTTCTGTTGATCTGCACCTATACTATATAAATTTCTAGAAGGAGCCAAGGAGCTAATGTCACCTCAGAAATAAATACTATTTTATCTATTCTTTCAGATTGACTCTAAAAAGCCCGTGTTAGTTCCCGGTGATCCTGAACGTAACATAGCTAAAGAAATCGAGGACCAAGGAGGAATAGAATACGCCGATGCCCAATTGAAATTATGTGATAAGCTGGTCAAGGAAATGGGCATAAAACCGCTGAGATATGCGTTAACAAAAACGAAATAAGGTTTTCTAAAAGTGTATTGAAATGAGATGTATTACTCTGATAGCAATACAAATAAACCGGGTAAAATCTTAAACGGTGTCATACCTGTCAATCAAAATATTTATATATTAAGAGGGTTCTATACCCGTCCGCCATATTGGAAATGTTAATGTTCAAATTCCAGGCCTAATACTCACCAAAACAAAATCTTTTTTGTAACCGAGCTTCTTATGCATGAAAAAATATAAAAAAAGTCATATACGTATAAATGTTATCATCCGCCATTCTTCATTTGCCACTGAACAACTTGTGTATTTACCATTTTTAAAAAAGTAAGTAGTTTTTCTAAAATTGTTCATTTCTTAAAAATCTCAAAGGGCACCGGGAGGTCCTGCCCCCAATGGTCCTCTTTTACGTTTGGATACCAGGATAATCAATATTTTCTATGCCAGATGGCGCACCAGTCGCGAAAAGTATGTTCAGTTCCCTAAACCAATAACTATTACAGAGTTACCTCCACGCTAAATTCTGCGATCTATTCATAGAACGGCAAACAATAAATATTGTGTATATTTGCCACATACATTAGGTTCTTTTGTTCGTCCCACTGGTGTAGGAATGAACTACACCAACTTACACTAAACCTTTCGTTTGGCCCGGTGTAAAACCCACTATACCTTCCTGTCGGCGATATGGTGTACACTGGTGGATATTTTCTCCACCAGCTATTTAGCAGGAGTGAATTACACTCGACATGTGTATAAGGCATAAGGAGGAAGTACATTAGGGTAAATACATTGGTGTAACTGGTGTAAACTACACTGGTATAAACTACACCAACAGCGAACGAAAGAACCTTTTGATTACTATACGGTGCAAGAGAGAGGTCCGACACGCCCAACATAGGGCGCGGCCATTTTGATGCCTCTACCACAGTTTATAGCTAAAGAATCAGTTCGCTCACTCTGCGTCGACACTTTTGATCTCAATGTTCCAGTTTACACACTGCGCAACTCGGATAATACAATATATGACAACCACCTATAATAAAACAGCAGTCTTCTGCGCATCCTGAATTTGTATCCCTGGAGTGGATGTTATTTTGGAACTTTCAACTGGTCCGAGTGAGCTAACTGATTCTTTAGCAATAAACTGTGACTCCAAAAATTATATTGACTGACACTGACAGCAGCAAGCAAAATATCAGGTGCGTTTTATTCATCTGCTTCTGCTTCCGGAATTGTCGGTTTAGTCGTTTTAACCTGTCAGATTAAAACAAGAAAACCGACAATTCCGAAGCAGAAGCGGATGATTAAAACGGACCTATTAAAAATATTGCGCCAAGATGTAGGCAACACGTAATAAGGCCATCAAAATGGCGGAGTTTTCTATCTCCTTTTAAAAGGCACTCAGAAAGCTGCGCAGTGCGACCATTCTCCGTATAGTAAGAGAAAATCAGAGTATGTGATATTTGCACATACTTTGATTATTTTGACAAAATTATGTATAATTCCCATAAGAAGCCATGTATTTTGAACACCGTAAGCAGTTTTAGAGTGGGCCAAGTATTTGGAAATTTTAAGGAGTAATGGGAACTTTAATGCAGAGATGATCTTATCTAGAGCAGTTATATTGATGATCTCACCTGGTGGATCAAAATTATTTCAAAAACAAACAATATTAGACGAGACATATTTCATTGTACCATATTTTCAGACTCGTCAAAAACAGGGTGGGGAGCAGTGTGTGAAGGACAAAAATTCATGGTTTTCGGTCCCCTCAGAAACAAACCTATCACATAAATTGCCTTGAACTAAAAGCAGCTTTTTTAGCTCTCAAATATTTTGTGTTCAATCTACACAATTGCACAATCCTCTTAAGAGTTGACAACACAACAGCTGTTTCCTACATAAATAGAATGGGTAGTATAAAGTTTCAAAAACTTAATTTACTTACTAGAGAACTATGGTAATGGTATCAAAGAATGGAGTTGTGGTTGGTAGCATCTTATATAAATTCTAGGGACAATTGGGAAGCTGACCTAGAGTCTAGGAGACTACCTTCAGATTACTAGTGGGAACTAACTATAGAAGCATTTAGGACCGATTCCACCATTGTGTTAAACGAAGTTTAAAATGACATTTTTACATTAACAATGTCACTTTAATCTCCGTTTAACACAACGGTGGAATCGGCTCTTAATGAAATTGATTTGTTCACAAATGAGCACAACAAAAAGTGCTCTAAATATATGTCCTGGCTAGGGTTGCCAGATTTCCGAAAGTGAAAAGCATGACAACCGTGACGACAGAGCATTAGGTGTAAATATTAAGCATTTTTATATAATCAGATCCTTTCTTTTGTGAAATTTCTAAAAAAAAGGGTCCTCACCTTATATTTCGTAAAAAATCTGATGTGTCCAACACATGACTTTCCTATCTAGTTATTACAGGCTTTTTCCGGTTATTTTGTACAACCTATTGCAGCATCTCTATAAATGTTTAGAGGATAAACTAAATATATACATTGTCCACATACATCTACCGCGAAACATTTTTCTATAGATATTCATTGAAAATGAAAAAAATACTGAAAAATTTAAATTTAGCTCTTTTCCTACAATTTTTCCATTACGGTCCATTTTAAAAAAATCATGTATGAACAAATATTATAGAGATCGATATCGCAAACAACTTTTATTTTTCAACAATTTTCATAAAAATCAGAATTTTGCACATTTTGTCAAATTTTTCGAATACGGACCATTTCAGGAAATTTTTACATAAAGCAAAAATTATAGATAATAATATTAGAAGTAACTTTTATTTGAACAATTTTTTTCTCCAAACATAAATAACAGATATATTCCATAAAATATAAAAACGGCCTCCCATAAAGTACCCCCCCCAGATGTTCCGACTTTGTCCAAAATCTAATCATTTCACGTCAGGCCGAAATAAAACTTAAGTTTAAATTTTAATGTTTTTTTCTTTATCCGTTTTTGAGTTTTCTTCAAATTTCGAAATTTACACATTTTCTCAAATATCTCGAATACGGTCCATTTTAGAGAAATTATCTATAGGATAAAAATTATAGAGAATTATATTACAAACAACTTTTTTCTACACCCGTATTATAATAATGCACTTATATGCCCATAATCCGTTTCATAATGATACCCATTATGATACAGATTTTTCATTACGATACAGATTTTTAATCAATAGAAACCTACAATTTTTCAATCAAGCATGCTGTTTGACGTTTGTCCTAGGTTCCTATGTAATTATTTTAGTTGTCAAAACGTATTAAATTTTCGTAGGTAGCTAAACTTCGATAATTATAATATTAAAATGTCTGATATTAGCGATATAGAAGACTCCTCCACACATATCGGAGAAAGCAGAAAATACAGTACAAAATATTTTACCGCAAAAATCTAGGGAAATACCAATACCTGAAGTAATACCATTAATTACAATTTTGTAGAATTTTTTATAGAAATACGAGTAATTACTGTTATTGTATTCAATACCAATATAAATATAATATTTATAGGTCTTGATTATTTATCGGGTGTAGAAAAAATAGCGTATGCAACTCTCATGTAATGGTTATTAAAACACTCGCATAAACCATACGAAACTCGCCTTTGGCTCGTTTCGTATCCCGGTTAATGCTCGTGTATTAATAACCATCATTACATGATCGTTGCATAATATACTATTGTTTGAACAATTTTTACAAAAAAAAATATTTTTTTACATTTTGTCAAATTTCGCGAATACGGACCATTTTATGAAAATTTTGTATATAACAAAAATTATAGATAATAAAATAAGAAGTAACTTTCATTTGAAGAATTTTCTTCCCCAAACGTAAATAACAGATATATTCCATAAAATATAAAAATGACCACCTATAAAGTACCCCCCCAGATGTTCCGACTTTGCCCAAAATCTAATCAGCTCATTAGACGCTGGAATAAAGCTTAAGTTTGAAATTTGGTGTTTTTCCGTGTATCGGTTCATGAGTTATGCGTTATACAGACACACACACACACACACACAGACACACACACACACACACACACACACACACACACAGACATCATCGCGAAAATAGTCAAAACGGATTCAGGGGACCTCAAAACGTAAAAATCCGTCGAAAACTCGAGGTCGAAAAAAATCATGATTCCTATACTTTCCTTATATCTGTAAACAGATAGGAAAGTAAAAAGAGGGTCCTTTACCTGCAGATTTGTCTATTACTTTCCTATCTGTATACAGATATAAGGAAAGTATAGGAATCATGATTTTTTTCGACCTCGAGTTTTCGACGGATTTTTACGTTTTGAGGTCCCCTGAATCCGTTTTGACTATTTTCGCGATGATGTGTGTGTGTGTCTGTGTGTGTGTGTGTGTGTCTGTGTGTGTGTGTGTGTCTGTATAACGCATAACTCATGAACCGATAAACGGAAAAACACCAAATTTCAAACTTAAGCTTTATTCTAGCGTCTAATGAGCTGATTAGATTTTGGGCAGAGTCGGAACATCTGGGGGGGTACTTTATAGGTGGTCATTTTTATATTTTATGGAATATATCTGTTATTTACGTTTGGGGAAGAAAATTTTTTAAATAAAAGTTACTTCTTATTTTATTATCTATAATTTTTGTTATTTACAAAATTTTCCTAAAATGGTCCGTATTCGAGAAATTTGACAAAATGTAAAAAAATATTTTTTTTTATAAAAATTGTTCAAACAAAAGTTGTTTGTAATATAATTCTCTATAATTTTTGTCCCATAGATAATTTCTCTAAAATAGACCGTATTCGAGATATTTGAGAAAATGTGTAAATTTCGAAATTTGAAGAAAACTCAAAAACGGATAAAGAAAAAATCAATAAATTTTAAACTTAAGTTTTATTTCGGCCTGACGTGAAATGATTAGATTTTGGACAAAGTCGGAACATCTGGGGGGGTACTTTATGGGAGGCCGTTTATATATTTTATGGAATATATCTGTTATTTATGTTTGGAGAAGAAAATTGTTCAAATAAAAGTTACTTCTAATATTATTATCTATAATTTTTGCCTTATGTAAAAATTTCCTGAAATGGTCCGTATTCGAGAAATTTGACAAAATGTGCAAAATTCTGATTTTTATGAAAATTGTTGAAATAAAAGTTGTTTGCGATATCGATCTCTATAATATTTGTTCATACATGATTTTTTTTAAATGGACCGTAATGGAAAAATTGTAGGAAAAGTGCTAAATTTAAATTTTTCAGTATTTTCATTTTCAATGAATATCTATAGAAAAATGTTTCGCGGTAGATGTATGTGGACAATGTATATATTTAGTTTATCCTCTAAACATTTATAGAGATGCTGCAATAGGTTGTACAAAATAACCGGAAAAAGCCTGTAATAACTAGATAGGAAAGTCATGTGTTGGACACATCAGATTTTTTTTGTATAAGAGCGTGGCATTGTATCAAAAAAGTGGCATTTGCATAAAAAGAGTGGCATTTTTGTCAAAAGCGTGGCTTTTTCGTATTGTGGCGTTGCGCATACAAGCAAGTCAAAAAGCGTGGCAAATACGCCAAAAGCGTGACGTCTGGCAACCCTAGTCCTGGCACCCAAACCCAAAAGCACTTGCAATTGATGCATTCACTATTTCTTGGTCAAATTATAAATTTTACGCATTCCCCCCTTTCTCTGTAGCAACTCGCACTATAAATAAAATAATTACTGACAAAGCACAAGGGGATGTTGTTTTACCAATTTGGAAATCTCAACCTTGGTACCCCTTGATCCATAAACTCCAAGTAGGAAAAGCCTTAACTTTACACTCAGAAAATGATAGTCTATGTTCTCATTTCAGACAAAAGAAATTTCTAAACGGGATTACCCTGGTGGCAATGCTCTTATCCGGGAAGCCCTCTTGTTGAGAGCTGTTCCAGAGAGCACCATCCCTATACTTCTTACGTCACTGGCACCAACCACATTAAAACAATACGATTCTGCACTTGAAGAATGGTGGCAATTCTGACAAACAAAAGAGAGATATCTAATGCAAGCTGGGCCAAAGGAAGTATTAGAATTTCTACATATATTCACTGTCAAACAATCATTCTGATATGGGTCTTTTAATACCTACCATTCTGCTTTGTCGTTAATCCTTCCGTTTAAAGTGGGTAAAGATCCGCAGATTCGTAGGTTCCCGAAAGGTATTTTTAGACTACGTCCCCCTCAAAGAATATACCATTCTACTTGGGACCCAGTAATCCTACTAAGACATTTCGAAAGACTGCCGCCAAATGAAGAGTTGACGTTGCAAAAACTATCAGACAAACTTGCTACCTTATTGGTCCTCATAACTGCACAGCGCCTGCAAACTCTCGCCCGTATCAGGATAGAAAAAATACACATAACTGCAGAAGCTATTCAAATATTTGTTGAGGATCATTTGAAGTCTACTTCACCAAAAGCATTTCAACCTCCTTGTGTGCAGCATCAATTCTTCTTCACTACATTGAGAAAACAAGTCCAATTATTAGAAGTCACACACAGGATTTCTTATTTCTGACAACCAGAAAACCTCACCTTACAGCCTCCACACAGACAATAAGCAAGTGGGTTAAGAGAGCATTATCAGAGGCAGGAATAGACACAAGAATATTTTCAGGCTATTCCGCTAAGCATGCAGGAGCCTCAGCAGCTTGTAGGAACTATTCGTAGAACAGCTGGCTGGAGCGAGACATCAGAAGTATACAGTGGTATATTATACTTTAGCATCTGGTGTGGGTAATATGTGGTCATGCATTGAAAAATGAAATTGTCAAGGAATTGAGTTATTTTTTTTATTTGTTTTTTTTTTTGTTAATGTTTATTTATTTTAATAAGTTTGTCAAGGGTAGTTTTCTCATAAGATGTAAGCAAATGGAGGTACTCAGTACTCATCGCCTTATTATTATATTTTTAACCAAAAATCATTGTAATTTTTAAAAAATAACTTTTATTCCAGTTAAATTTAAATTATAAATATTTCGTAAAAAAAATAAAAAAATATTAAGTACCTAAATATATTTTAGAATAATAATTTATATGTTTCTGTGAAGTGTATTTGGATGAGAATAGTGTCCAGAGTGTATGGATCTCGGTACAGTTCTCTGTGAAAATTGCGAATAAGTATCGTCTTGGCCGGGATGGACTAGAAGAACTGGATGGTGGATGCTCAAAGACTTTCTTGAACCTGCTACGCTGGCCGAGTCGCCCATGAAAGCTCCATTCATTTCACCTGAAAACAAATAAAATTTTAAGATATAGAATGACAAGGACATACGTTAGATAATTATGGACGAGGTACTTCAATACCCTTTATAATTGAGATACCCACGCAATATGTTAACCAAACTCACCCAGCAGAATAAAGATGAGACGTGAGAGGAAAAATAATGTAGCTTTCGTCACGCCTATCTGCCTGCCGTAATTGGACGCATGGTTACACCTATTATACCGGTAGTGGGATAGCAAGTATGCTCTTTTTGTATCTATTCAATAGCGTTGGTTTTCTATACCGTTCTCTGGAGAAAGATTCGAAAAGTTAACATAATTGAATGGTGTTTTATCAACTTTGCTTACTTCTTTAGTGACTTAAAACTTGTCAACACTATAAGTTTCTAATATTTAGCAAACATGTAGTCCATACTAATGTAATAATGTAATAATAATAATGTTTATTCACAATATTATGTCACTCTATCGTAGTATACATGAAATCACCATAAAAATTAACAAATTGGATTCAAATCTGGAGGTCGTGGGAGAAATTTTTAGTATCCATTTGATCATGACTATATAAATATAAAACTAATCAAAACCAAATATATTTTTCCCTTGTAATGAGTATTTGGAGTGTAGGTACTCCTTACTTTATGTATAATCTACGATATCTAATAGCCTTTTGAGTTATTTTTTAATAGTGCTTTTAATAACACACATCAAATAATAAAATCAAAATTAATGAAAAATGAAAGTAATTACTATTAATTGCAAATACAAACCATAATTCGTCCAAGATTATAAATATGTACTTTCTAATTATTGTTAATGACCATTTAACGTTAATAGTTATTAAGAAGAAATCGAGCATGAGACGATATACAGAATGTAACAAAAATTAGGTAATACATTATACAGTGTGGGCGCGCATGAAGTTTACAAGAGGAAAAAAATCGTTAAGCACAGTCATTTACCATAAAAAAATCAGTTTGTCGAAAAAATACGATTCCCATATAAAAGTCTTATATCAGATTAATAAATTATTAAAACATGAAAATTTTATTATTTAAAACAAAATGTTTACAAAAGAAAGTTGTTTGTAATTGAAAATAAAGCCTGAATATAAATTTTCAAATCAAAAAACGTTTACTAAATTGGCTATCTTGATCATTTGTTAAATGCTGCAAATAATTGCACAAATACACTATTCTAAATGGTTTTTAATTTGAAAATTTGTGTACAACCTTTATTTTGAATTACATTTCTTTTGCAAGCATTCTTTAATTAATAAATAAAGGCACTTCTTTCTAATACCAGCAGAATGTTTTATAATAAATAACTTGCTGTCGTTAAAATAATAATAATGATTTTTCTTCTCTTGCGAATTTTCAAACTTTAACACCCTGTATTTCGGAAACGAGTAACATTTTACCTAAACGTGTTTCGTTTAATCTTCTTTCTATTCTTAACGGGACACCCTGTATACTTTACAAATTTTGTTCAAACTGTAATAGGTCGTATCTTGAACGTCTATTGATAGTAAAATAAACTATTTTTTGATCCCCTTTGGTACTTACCTTTAAACAAACTAGGACTCGTCGAATAATGCGGATCTGGCTGCAGCCTGATATGTCTAAGGGCTAATAGAAAAGCCAAAGTGGACAAAATTACAGCATCCAAACATCCAATGGCCGCCAGAATATAAGTCCATCTAATCTGGCATTCGCCCAACGAATATCTGTCTGCTGCCACGCCACAAATTTTACGCGTACTGTCCGAGTTCCAACCAGCAGGAAATACTGCACAGCCAGCTATCATGCAAGCAGCTAAAAAAAAAGGATATATTTTCATAAAAGTATTTTTTTTTCTAATTTTGAAAAATAAAGTGACATTTTTTGTAATCGCAGCAAGTGTCAAAATGATCTCACTTTACGTAACCAGTTACATAATATTTATGAAACTGGTATAATTATAAATTAGCTGAGTGTCATCAGCATACTGGATACATTATATATACGAAAAATAAGAGAGGTCCTAGAATGGATCCCTGAGGAACACCGTGTTTTACAGGTAAGGCATCTGACACTTCTGAACCGATAACCACTCTGTGTCCTCTCTGATAAGCTGTTTTTTATGAGCCCAACAGCTGAGTTATGAAATCCAAAAAAAAAATAGTTTTTTACGAGTAGTTCATGATTCACGGTTCACGGTGTCGAATGCCTTGCTAAAATCTAGTAATATTAGACAACTTAATTGGCGCTTGCCCACAGCTCTCATTATTTCATCAGAAATGTTAAGTAATGTGTTGTATTCGTACTAAATTGTGGTCTAAAGCCTGACTGAATATCGGGAATAATTTTATGGTAAAAAATAAAATCCGACATTTGCACTTTAAGTATATGTTCCATCATTTTCGAAAAGGTAGGTAATATACTAATTGGCCTGTCTTGTGACACGCATTTTTGAAAATTGAATAATATTTACTTTTATATGATTTAATCCCACAATTTTATTCTTTTTGAAAATCATTCAAATGAGTTCAAAGAATAAATAATTATAACAAATATAATTTGATCATTACAATAATAATTTTATTTAAATCATGGGTTAAAAAGCTCTAAAAATACAAATACATTTAAATTTGCCCCTCAAAAACCAATTAAAGACCAATTATAGACAGTCATAAACTCTCGTTGATATTCGGAGTCAATAACCTTAGGTTACACAGTTTTCATTTAACATAATTTTTCAAAATTTAATTACTTTTCAATTATTGGTATTTTTTTAAATAATATTTCAATAACTCCCTGTATAGACACCTAATTTTAGTATTTTTCGTATCATAAAACAGCGCTTCTGGTTTTTTACATCTGGTGTATAATTTTCCTCATTAATTTCGGTTTACCCATTATAACAGTTTAAGTTCTTATCTATAGCAAACTATTTAAAAAATTTACGGTATCAAAAGCAACCTTAACTACTACAACACCTGAGTCACAATATATAAATAAAAAACATACTTTAGATAATAATATCATCACGATAATGCTACTAAAATATGTTGGGAAAATCATGTCTATATTACAGTCAATTTATTGAACATGCTTTCAATATATTCAGGAAAAATTTTTGAATACTTATATTCTAATGTGATTTAGTAATATTTGACATATTTCTTTCTTTATTAAATCATCAAACCGTGTCTAAAAAGGTATATATAAATATGGCTTGATGTGAAAAAAGAAAACAACTACTCCTCTGACCACAATAGGTATTGTATTAAGCACTATTTATTTATTTATTTATTAACGTTTTTAAATAGTTTGTATATTGGCATGCTCCCTGAGGTAATAGCCTTTTGTCCATGAAACCTAAGTCTGAAGAACAATATATTGGTTTCTTCTCTTATTTGAAGACAAATTAAAACGAATTATATACATATATTTACACTACTTTTATAAATGATTGATTTACTAGTTATTCTATGTTAAACGAAGTGAGTTGGTTGAAAATAAAATACAGTAGAAGCAATTGACGAGAACGATGTAAGTATTCCAACTACGAGGGCATGTTGACGGTTCGAAGTTCGAAATTGGAGTATGCAGTGGAAGACGAAGCAGGCAATTAGTCGGTTCTTGTGTGTAAAGCACGCTGTAATCCCCTCGATGTTGCAGAATGAATTTGTCCAGCAGACGAAATTACATCATTAAGTGAAATTTTGTTAAAAGTTAATTTTTTAATTATATTAAGTGGGAGATAAAGAGGCTGCGATCTAAGAGATAGAATATGGAATGCTTTGGAGTCGCGTACGTGACAGTTTGCAGAAATAGTAGTTTGTGCAACAAGAGTGGATTGAGTTGTAAGTATATTTTTTCTACGGCCCACTAATGAAAATCTACAAATATTAAAAATTATTTTAGGTTATTAAGATAAAATAATTAATTTAAAAAGAATTTATTACTTTTACTTATTTATAAAATAAAATAAACAAGAAAAAAAAAGAAAACATTTCCTTTTTTCCTTCTGAGATTTGAACTCGAGTCTTCCATATGAAAGGCAAGAACCCTGACCACAGTGTTTATTTTTTTGCTTTAATACTCGTAAATATGAACTGTGATTGGTGGATTTAATTTTTTTCTACACCCACATGGATATTAGCTTATATACGCACAGATTACAAAACGAAAAAGTATGCTATTGCCTTTAACTGAACGAATATATTTCATATCCATTCTAGGTAGTAAGAACACTGCAAAAAAATGGAATCTACCAATCACCGTTCATATTTAAATCAACCGACTGCTATTATTTTTAAAATTTTAAATAAGTGACAATTCTGTCAAACTAATTGTCAGTATATTTTTTAGTTATTAGGATTAAACATACATTAAAATGGGTTATTCTTGTGTAGAATCGATAAATAATAGCATTTCTGTTTTTATTTCGTCTATAATTATAAATAATTTGTTAATTTAAATAAAACTAACTATATAAAGTCAATTTAATACGAGTATTAAAGCAACAAAAAAGAAAGAATAGGTGGTACTGGGTTAGCTTTTTTGCCTTCCACACTGGAGACTCGAGTTCGATTCTCGGATGGGTAAAAATGAAATAAACTTTTTCCTTTTTTTTTTCGTGTATTTTATTTTAAAAATTATTAAAAGTAATAAATTATTTTAAAATTAGTTATTTTGTCTTAATAACCTAAAATATTTATTTTATTTGTAAATTTTCGTTACTGGGTCGTAGAAAAAATATACTGTACAACTCGAGTGGATTGTCCACATCGCACTCAGACGATTGAGCACTCCGCCTACGGCGTCTTGCTCAAATTTCGTCTTCGTGCGATATGGCCATCATAGCCACTCTTGTTGCACAAACTACTATTTTGCAGTTTTCTCATTACCTAGAATGGATATGAAACATATTCGTTCAGTTGAAGGCAATAGCATACTTTTTCATTTTGTAATCTGTAAAATATATTTTGCTTGTATTATATTAGAGCGGGATGACGTTGCTATGCGCATTATGGATGATATGCATTTCGTGAATGGGTGGGTTTGATCGCAAATGAACACAGGGGCGGTTTAGGAAATGATTAAGAATATTATGAAATTCAATTAGTTGTTATTTTAGACTTTTGAAAAAAACGGTATATAGTTTTGTTTTCTTTCGACCTTTCCATACCCTGTATTTTATTATCGGGGTGAAAGTAAGCTTGATTTCGCTTCAAATAATATGTACAATTCAAATTATTGATACTATTAGTACTTATTACTAAAATAATTATAGTTCTCACAATCGATAAAGAATAACAATTTTTTTTATTATTTATGAAATGAATTCCTAGACCGGTACTGCTCTTATGCAATTTATACACAACACTGACACTCATCAAGTTTCTGCATCATTTAATTTACTTATATATTTTTGTAATTTCTTGTTTTCTATTATTTGTTTTATGTTAACAAGTAAATAACAAGAATTAGTGATTTATTTAACCCACTTAGCGATAACTGCCTACTTTTAACAAAACCACGTCGATTTACAGTTTTCTTATAATTTATGTTTTATGATTCACTAGAAAATTGAATTAATCTCATTTGTGTCGTTTTTGTAACACCGTTACGGAATGTGGTCAAGCAAATGAAATCCAGAGTCGACCTGATCCGAAAGGATGCCACCGAAATGAAGTATTTCTAAACATAAAAAGAAAGTGTAGAATAATGCAAATGTATCCGTTAATAATTGTAAAAGAGATGCAATTGTATCATATTTAATTTAAATTATTTCTCGAGATGCACATCTTGGTCCACTACCATTCATACTTTTTATAAAAAATCTGATGTGCCCAACACATGATTTTCCTGTTTTTTTATATATAGTGTGTGTACGTAAGTTGGCTACATGTGGAAAACTTTTTTATATAGTTTTATCAAAAAAGTGTATTCTTTATAAAAAGTATAAAACCTATAATTAAAAAAATTAGATATTAAATTTGTCTCAAGAGTAAAGTACCTTTATTTTTGACAATCCTCGTATATACTCGTAACTTACAAAATTTAGTCTCAGATGATTGAGAAGAACTTTTTGTGAAAAATCGACAGAATTTTAAAATGTATAAAAAATAGCATGTAAAAAGAAGAAAACAATATTTTTGAATTTCAAACTGCTCTTCGTTTGCATCAAATTCTTTTATCTTCAAACAACCTACACAGCAGGTTCCTTTTACGTTTTCTGTATTCGGTTTTTCGCAAATTTTTCAAATTTTTGACGGCTCAACGGGCTAATTAACCTTCAGTTAATACAGTAACGTCTGGTGATTCTCAAGAATTATACAGGGTGTCTATAAAAGGTCTTTACAAAAACATACCACATATTCCTTAGACCAAAATAAGTCGATTTAAGTAAAATTACCTTAGTACAAAGTTGCTTCGTTTGGGCTCCAGAGGGCCTTGAAGTTACAATTTTTAAATCGTTTTTCCCATATAAATTTAAAACGGCATATGCGATTTTACTGAAATTTGGTATATTGGTAGAGTTTTATGTGGCAAAAAAATGGTATTAAAATTTTGTCCGATAATGATACATAGGCGTAGAACTTGATTTTTTAAATAATTGCACCTTTAAAAATTCTACGCCAATGGAAGAAAAGGAGTTTGAGTATAAAATTTAGATTGTGCAACTCATTTACTTTAAAAAAGGTACTCTTGATAAGAATCGACTACTCTCATGGTTTTGACGAAATTTGCATTTTAGTAATTTTAGAACATAAACAATAATTATTAAAATACAAACTTTGTCAAAACCATGAGAGTAAATCGAG